AATGCAGGTGTAGTTAACAAAAACAGAAAAAGCGCACAGTCTGATTTAACAGTACAGTTTTTTCACAATAAAAGTTGCTAAACAACAATAAAAAAAGCATAACAATTAAACTTGCACTATTAATTAACTTTCAAAGGGCTTAGAATAATAATAATAATAATACTTTTGGGGGTATATCGTTCTGCTCGTTAGTTTTTTTGTTGATGACGTACGTAATTCATTCATGTGACGTTACTGAGTAGGATGTGTTCATGAGGGTCATTTCAGGACGCCGGTTCGTCACATTAATGACAGATTTGAATCACTTACCTAAACGAGTGTGAACCATCGTGTCAGAGAGATCGGATTTGAGCACAAAATCAGATTTGAGCAACGAGGCTTGTGATGTGAACGCAGCAGAACTCTTCTCTGGTTCAATCTGCTTACATTACTCCTACTGTTACTATCATGGTGTTCAACATTCGAAGAAAAAAGGCAGCTCCAGTAAACCACAGACTCCAGCATGAAGACTGTACTATTTATAAAAGAGCCTCCATGACAGTCACTGACGAGGAATTCCAACAATTTTTCAAAATTTCTGCCTAATTAAATGGTTAAGATATAAACAGCCGTTCAGAGTGGTTTGATGTGAAGCGCAACTAGAGAAACTTACAGAGTCAGAACTGTTTACAGTGGTGGTGATAAGAACCAGATGTCCAAAGAGTTTAATGTCTCTAAGGCTACATCTCAGAAAGTTCCAGCATGAAATGGTTATGAATACTGTCTGATGCGTGAGACACTGACATATTCAACATATGAAACACAACTCAGAAGTCATGTGTGGGTTCACTGGTGGTTTCAGGCGTAACATTATGAGCACCACCTTGTTTCTGCGCTCATTGTCCATTTTATCAGCTCCACTTACTATATAGGTGCACTTTGTAGTTCTACAGTTACAGACTGTAGTCCATCTGTTTCTCTGATACTTTGTTAGCCCCCTTTTACCCTGTTCTTCAGTGGTCAGGACCCCCATGGACCCTCACAGAGCAGGTACTATTTGGCTGGTGGATCATTCTCAGCACTGCAGTAACACTGACGTGGTGGTGGTGTGTTAGTGTGTGTTGCGCTGGTCTGAGTGGATCAGACACAGCAGTGCCGCTGGAGTTTTTAAACACTGTGTCCACTCACTGTCCACCCTATTAAACACTCCTACCTTGTCAGTCCACCTTGTAGATGTAAAGTCAGAGACGATAGCTCATCTGCTGCTGCACAGTTTGTGTTGGTCATCCTCTAGTCCTTCACCAGTGATCACAGGGCGCTGCCCACAGGATGCTGTTGGCTGGATATTTTTGGTTGGTGGACTATTCTCAGTCCAGCAGTGACACTGAGGTGTTTAAAAACCTTATTAACACTGCTGTGTCTGATCCACTCAGACCAGCGCAACACACACTAACACGCCACCACCACATCAGTGTCACTGCAGTGGTATGAATGATTCACCACCTAAATAGCCTATTACCTGCTCTGTGGGGGTCCTGACCATTGAAGAACATGGTAACAAAGTATGCAGAGAAACAGATGGACTACAGTCTGTAACTGTAGACACAGTGAAACTATATGGTCAGTGGAGCTGATAAAATGGACAGTGAGTATAGAAACAGGGAGGTGGTTTAAATGTTTTGGCTGTACAGTCATCCCGGAGGGCAGGTTCGGACGGCCGAATGTACAACCTGGCATTTCGACTATGAGGTGACATAAAGAGCCAATGTTTCATAACTCAGTCAGAGTAAACTTTAGTGCAGCTCGTCTTTACAGTCCAACGCCGGCCTCACACCAAACGACTGTCGCAGGCAAATTTCCAACGTCGGAATAAAATCATGAGAGTCTTGCTAGAGTTGCGTTGCGCTCGCATCACCTCGTTTAGTGTGAGGAGGTCAGGATGACCATCTTAGGTCAGTCTTTTTCTCGTCTTGACGCTGCCACTAAATCAACTGTGCTTCATATTAACGTAAGTTTTAAGTCTTGGCTCATGCAAATAGCACAAGGGAGCGAGTGCGAAAACAGGCAAATCTGCTCCACTTCAATACAATAAATCATATTAATGTAAAATGAAAACTGGCTGTTTTAATAGTTCAGGTTCACTGAGTGTAACAGTGATGTAAGGAAATGCGCAGAGGACCTCAAGAATGGCTTTATGGACGAATCATCAATGTTTTTCTTTCTTCTAGTTATAGTGGTTTCTTATTTTGTTTGTTTGTTAGTTTTTTATAGTTTAGTTCATAACACCCGATCAACAATACCGGATCGCTGCATGTTTTGTTGATGTATAAACCTTTATGTCAAATTTAAAAAGTAACTGCAAATTTTACAGGTTAATTAAATAATTCTGGGTGATGATCTGCTAGAATGAACAGTCCTTTATACAACAGTTAGTTCCAGCCACGCAAGCTGATTGGTTGAGAAGCGTCTCTAACCGTGCTGTTGTTTCGCCATAACATCACGGCTTTTCCCACAAACACTGTATCACTCCGCTGAGGAGCTGTTGCTAAGCAACAACTTTGACGGCTGTAAGAGACGCTCAAGCCATCTGAACGTTTTCACTTCTTACTTTGCCACAAACAGAAAACGGACATCTTCTAAGATCACATTTGACCGACAGCCGATTTGGTCAGACTCTGAAGATGAGACGACACTAAATTCCCAAACTGTCATCACCACTGAGCAGCTTTTCAGTCGGCAGCTGTGACAGAAGAACAGCTGAACAACCTGGAATCAGCCAGAAATGAACCCAACACCATTCGCCAAACTAAATGGGCTGTAAGATGCTTTACAGACTGGCTGGAACAAAACAACATTAATACTGATCTGGCAAAAACTGACAAAACTGAGCTGAACTTGATATTGTGGCAGTTTTACTAAAAACCTGTGACACTGTCTTTAGATGTGAGAGGGCGTCAAACTTCAGTCCATTAAAAGTCTTTTCAAAGTAATTTCAAAGTCTTCTAGTTTACGGTTTGCAGAAGTGAAAGTAAGTGGAAATAAAGGGAGAACCTGACAAAAATAATTTACTTATCGCTGCTGTCGGAACGAAACCTCGTATCTCCAAAATGGTAAGGAGAAGGAAACAACCTTCTTTATTTTCAATGTAAATCAATGGAACCAGGCGTTTTTCCAAGAATTATGACAGAAACTGAAATGGAGATACAAGGTTTTGTTCCGACAACATTATTTATATACAGGTTATTTGGCAAATCATTCCTAAAATTCTACATACATACATACATACATACATACATACATACATACATACATACATACATACATACATACATACATCATCTAAACCGCTTATCCTTCTGGGTCATGGTGGGGTGCTGGAGCCTATGCCAGCTGTCATTGGGCGGAAGGCAGGATTCACCCTGGACAGGTCGCCAGTCCATCGCAGGGCAGACAGACATACACAGTCACACCTAGGGGCAATTTTAGCACGTCCAATCAGCCTGACTGCATGTTTTTGGACTGTGGGAGGAAACCGGAGTACCCGGAGGAAACCCACACAGACACGGGGAGAACAGGCAAACTCCACACAGAAAGGACCCTGGTCGCCCGGCTGGGAATCGAACCCAGGTCATTCTTGCTGTGAGGTGACAGCACTACCCACTGCACCACCGTGCCGCCCCGTATGTATGTATGTATATATATATATATATATATATATATAAAATATATATATAAATAAATATATATATAAATAAATAATATATATATATATATATATATATATATATATAATTATTATTTTAGAAATAATTTGCCAAATAATACAAGCCCTCACTTCACTGTTCTGTGAGTTCATTTCACCTCCACACTGACTACCGGAGAACGCATTTGCCTAAACCACAGTACAGCATTCTCTGACACTAAAAACGTGGCAAATTACAACACAAAACCTGTTACTTCCCTTTGGTGGAAAAAAACGGTGCCGATTTGCAATTATTTTAAATATGTGCAAATTCTAAACAGACAGACAGACACAGTAAATAGACGGTAATAAGACACATGAATGATAATGATAAATTACTTCATGAAATACAGAGCCTCATGTTTTGAGTCAAAACACAACCCTCACAACCACAACATTCACACATCACATCGTAAACTGACCGGTAAAGGTTAGAATTATGGCTGTGAGGTTTGGACCCCACAGTGTGCTGTTAGAAATAAAGGTTCTGTTCAGGTCCAAGTTTCGTTCATCAAGGTACAAACAGTGTAAATGTTCCCTCAAAGCTCCAACAGTGGTTTTAAGGTCTGATTGTGAACCTTAAATAAGTTTTTCCAGGTGAAAAGTTCGTATTTGTACCTTTTCATAACCGAATGTTTTAAACAGAACAGTAAAATAAAAGCCTGGAGACGAGACGGGGTGTGTGGAGTCAGTACAGCTTAGAACATATCATTTCAGTGGATTATGGTTCAGTTATGTTCCCTGAATAAAGGTACTGAGATGGACCCTTGAGGGTCCCACCCCAGTGACCAGAGGGGCACTGAGACAGGGACAGTTCAGGAGCCCTATTTCTGAGAGTGTGTGTTGTATGTGTGTTATTCAGTCTCTACTCTGAATTGTCCTTGTTATTCAGTAACTGCCTCGTTAAACTCAAACACTCAGACAAACAACACGCCCAACTGTTAAAGCCTGACAGCCACAGTGAGGCGAGATTCAGAGTCAGATTCGAATAAAAACGCTGAAGAAAAAAAAAAAGAAAAGCTGAATCTGAAAAATACAGACAAAATCTTAATGTTGTTAAGAGTTATATTGACATTTTAACAGTTAAAAATAAATAAATAAATATATAAATAAATAAAAATAAAAACAACCCCGTTACCAAAACATCATCAGACAACAGTGAACCTGTTCCAGCATTTGACCCCCAGGTGTGTCCAGATGAACCAGATTCACCCCCTTTTTACACTGTCTGGGCTCCGACATAGGACTACAGTGTAAAATCTGCCCCTGTGAGCCTCACCTGGAGGAGGAGACCAACACTCCGTACCGTCGACCCTCCGGAGGCTCTTCAGTAGTTTGTTGCCCTGTTTTCAGCTGAAATCCTCCGAGCGGCGCCGGGAGACTTCAAACGTCTCTAAACCTGATGTATTAAGTTTCGGTTTACGTTTAAATCTGAGCTGGAACAGATTAAACAGCAGACGCGACCTTTCACTGCTCTCAAACCCGAGTACACGGAATGCCGGGAACGCTGGAGGACTCACTGGGATGTGTAGTTTTTTAAAATAGCTCAGCTGCCCCCTACCGGCGGGCTAAAGGACTACACACGTACAAACAGTGAAGGCTCACACTTACCAGGTTTTTCTACAGGGCTATTTTTTGTTGCTATTTTAATGAAGTGAATGATGTTGAATTGGGGCTGACGACACTCTTAAAGATGGTTCTTCAAGGGTTCTTTAGCAAAGGAGATGGTTCTGTACAGAACCATGAACACCCAAAGAACCCTATGCATGGTGAAACGGTTCTTCAGATTGATGGAGAATGTGTTGTATATTTTAATGAAGTGAATGATGTTGAATTGGGGCTTATGACACTCTTAAAGATGGTTCTTCAAGGGTTCTTTAGTAAAGGAGATGGTTCGGTATAGAACCATGAACACCCACAGAACCCTTTGTATAGTGAAACAGATCTTCAGATTGATGGAGAATGTGTTGTATGTGGTTCTGTACAGAACCTTTTTGAAAAGGGTTCTATGGTTCTACAATCTTGTCCTCAGAGACAATAGCAGTGTATACACACACACACACACACACACACACACACGACATAACATTCTGACCACCTTGTTTCTGCGCTCATTGTCCATTTTATCAGCTCCACTTACTATATAGGTGCACTTTGTAGTTCTACAGTTACAGACTGTAGTCCATCTGTTTCTCTGATACTTTGTTAGCCCCCTTTTAGCCTGTTCTTCAGTTGTCAGGACCCCATGGACCCTCACAGAGCAGGTACTATTTGGGTGGCGGATCATTCTCAGCACTGCAGTGACACTGACGTTGTGCTGGTACAAGTGGATCAGACACAGCAGTGCTGCTGAGGTTTTAAACACTGTGTCCACTCTCTGTCCACTCTATTAGACACTCCTACCTTGTCAGTCCACCTTGTAGATGTAAAGTCAGAGACGATAGCTCATCTGCTGCTGCACAGTTTGTGTTGGTCATCCTCTAGTCCTTCATCAGTGGTCACAGGATGCTGCCCACAGGATGTTGGCTGAATATTTTTGGTTGGTGGACTATTCTCAGTCCAGCAGTGACACTGTGATGTCTAAAAACTCCAGCAGCACTGCTGTGTCTGATCCACTCCGACCAGCACAACACACACTAACACACCACCACCACGTCAGTGTTACTGCAGTGCTGAGAATGATCCACAGAGTGCTGCCAAACACTTGTATTCTGAGAACACGGCTAAGTTAAAAAAATAAACACATTCAAGGAGTTTTGACTATAAAACATGTTGACTTTTATTGCTTAGAGAATACAGCTTACAGCTTCTGCAAAGGCATGTGAACACGCACCTCAACTAAAACTTACCAGTCATCACGAGATAAGAATTAACCACGCATTCACAACTCAACTCCTAAACATTGCACCAGAAAAACAGATCTGCTCATACATCAAAACCCTTTACAACATGGGAGTCACCATTAATACGTGGACACGGTTCGCACCAGAGCAGGTCGTTCTGTAGAGAGTAAAACTGTCGGGAGAAAACTTCTTTAAGACGATCTGGTTTCAACTCTATCTTTGGTACTAAAGAGACAGATATTATTCTGTATTCGTTTTCATTTCAATACTGTTCTGAACACAGGCCAGAGAAAAGCTGTATCCTACATACGTTGTATTCTTAACCTCACTTGAACTAAAACGAAAAAGAAAAAACGTCCTACATTACAATTTTTTTCCCAAATCAGGACTCTGCCTAACGCAGAGCGAGACAGAAGAGCAACAAATCACTGTAAAAATCATTATTTTGCCAAAATAAGGGGGGAAAAAAGGAAAACATGAATTTATCTTTGAACTATTTTACATATGAGAGCAAGAAATCTGAAAGTCAACTAAAACAGAGGCCCTTGAGCTTAAACACTCACTCCCGCACTGATCCAGGAACAATTTAACGTAATGCATCTCATGCCACTAACACATTATAACGACTCAGTGTACCAAAATTACAATGCACATACAATATGGCGCTTTAAAAAAACGGTTGTTTTCAACTGTCTGAAAGAAGGAGGGGAGAAAAACGGAGTGGAAAAACCAAAATGAGTCTTTGAAAACTAAAAAAAAAGGGAAAAAAGACATCTAACTCTAGACATATCAAGGGGGCCAAAGTGACAGACCTCCCAGAGTATTATCTAAAAAGTCAATATGAATTTATACAGAAGGAGGAGAGAAAGAAAGAAAGAGAAATAAAGAGAGAAAAAAAAAAATCTGTCAGTGGGATCACATGTCGTCCTCTTCATCTTCATCCTGCGAGGATCCGGCTTGTTGAGCTGCGCTGGCTGAAGCTGCTGCCGCTGCGGCTAACTGGGCCTGCTGCGCCGCCTGCTGCATCTGCAGCCACTCCTGCTGCGCCAACTCAGCCTGCTGCTGCCGAGCCTGCAACACAAGCACAGCCAGTGGTGGATGAAGTACACAAACCATGTTCTTGAGTTAAAGCAGAGATACCCAAGGTAAAATATTACTCCAGTAAAAGTAGAAGTTCCTCCCTTTAGACCTCCACTTGAGTAAAAGTACAGAAGTATTTGCCTTCAAATGTACTTAAGTATCAAAAGTGAAAGTACTAAAAGATTAATTATGACTCTGATGTCCTTTTACTATTTTTGTAACAAGATTCGCTTTATTAACTCATTTTAGGTGAAAATACTCCAGTGTCTCTCTTGGTAAACCAGTCTTTTAATAGAATGTCATTAATTAGTGACGCTGATGTCTATTAAAATTATCATAAACACAAAACACTGAAGGCAAACAGTTTCCATCAGGTAGAACTGAGTGGCTCTGAAATCACTTTTTGCAAACAAGCAAAGTTTCAGTTTAAGATTTATTTGCAACTTAGTTACAAGTTTAAATTTAATAAAAACTTTAAACTCAGGTTCACAAATGAGTTTCCTTTACTAAACTGCATCTGTAGGTCTCTGTTCATAAACATAAACTAGCCAAAACTAATTTACCATAAAATGAAAGTGTTTGTATAAATTCAGAAAAAAAGACACGTCAGTCACAACTGCATATGAGTACATATTTCTATATTGTGGTCTATTTACACAAAGTTAGGTTAGTTCAACATTTATATTGAATAGACTCTCCCAAAATTTTACACTGCTGCACTGACGTTGAACCGTGTGCTGCACTGGGTCGGTATGACCAACAGGTCAAAACAAGCTCAAAACTAAGTGGGCGCTGTGCCCTGATTGGTGTTCTTGCTTCACACTTCTTTCGTTTTGACATGTTATGTTTTTATGCACACATAAACCAAAAGGAACGACAGATTTCTCATAATGTAGTGGAGTAAAAAGTGAGATATCTGACTTTGAAATGTAGTGGAGTGAAAGTAAAAAGTCACCCAAAATGGAAAAACTTCAGTAAAGTATAGATACACGAAAAAACTACTTAAGTACAGAAACAAATTACATTTACTTTGTTACTCTCCACCACTGAGCACAACACACTGCTAAGTACAGGTGGCAGGTAAGAGTGGTTGGTATGACAGTACAACAGGCCTGTGTCTGGCAACGGTTAACCGAGTTACCAGCTAACAGCCCCCAGTTACAGTAACAGCTCACACTGCCGTTCTTCCGTTTCAGAAACCTGCTGTTCATTTATTGATTTATTTCATGAAAACCATAAGACACTAGTGCTCCCACACAAGACCATAGCTGAACTTCTAAGCATGCTGGGTGACCTGATAACCTATATTATCACATTTACTGTACTTAACATAGAAGAGATTACTATGTAAACATGGCTGTCAGTACAACTTAGAAAATATCATTTCAGTGGATTATGGTACAGTTATGTTCCCTGACTAAACACACTGAGATGTGCCCTTGAGGGAAACGCCCCAGTGACAGTTTAGCACCTTTATTTGTGAGACTGTACTCACTACTTTTGAGCAGTCAGTACATGAGCAGTATGCTCTAGGCCACTGCGAACACAGGCATGGAGTCATTCTGTTAGACCGCAATACACTACAGGAAGCGTAGAGGCTGATGTGGCAAACACACAAAGCATGATGGCTTGATAAGTCAATCAACTGAATACCGAAGGACAGATTAATCACTTCTAGAAAAAACAGCCCTGTCACTGCGCTGGATCAAGGTTTACACCACTGTCCACATCCGAGGTTCTCAACTACAGCTCCAAAAAGACTCTATAGGCTGCTTATTTTCTTGCTACTACACCTCTGACATAGGCTGCCTTGAAATCATGTCGGAAACATTATATTACGATAACTGCACACACTAATGACTAGTGGGAAACTCAGATTTATCAATGAGCCCTGACTGAGTTGGGGGCATCAACCAAAAAAGTAATGGCAGCTGCTGACAGCTGCATGTCAACTGGGTGTATATTCAGCAGCCACACATGAGCAAAGCAGATTAAAGTCTTTTTCTTAGTGTCTTACTCTCATCCACATGCAAAAAAATCAACATCAGCAACGTCGCTATAGTGCAAGACTGAGAACTCCGGTTACTCTTTACATTGTGTGTAATTCGTGATGAATGGACCAACAGAAACGGTCCAAAATTACTTTACTTACTAACTTTAATTGTATGTTAAGTAGGTTTTTTTCCTTCTCCTGTAAAGTTCCCATTTTGGGGATACGAGGCTTTGTTCTGACAGCGATGATGTGCCGTGATGCTTCTAATCAGATAAAAACATCACTCATCTGATGTGCATCCTCGGCTCTTTCTTACGTTACGGTAATACAAATTAAACGCACTCTCTGAAGACAGACAAACTAAAGTAAGCAAAAAAAAAAAATCAATCCTAGCACGTTTTTTTTTGGTTTCTGACCAAAACAACTAGAATACGACGCATTTACGACCTCGCAAGCCGTAAGCTGGAACTTTCGAGGAGGACTTCGAAGGCAGCATTGAATAAAGCCAGGTGTACACTGTGCGATTTTAGCCCGTTTTGGTCGGAGCCGACTGAATTTCATGGTCGGGCCGAATTTCAGCTTCATCGGCCGTCGTTTGCCGTGCAGTGTGAGAGGAGAAACGATGATTAACTGCCCAAACGAGCTGCGATTTAACAGTTGGACGATCAGATGGATTTCTGATATGTCAGAAATTTTGGTCGCTTGTCTCACAGTGTGAGCAGCCTCACGAACCGATTTCTCAGAGTCGCACCCAAAACCACACACAGTCACAACCACCGCTCCGACACGGAGGCAAAAGGTCCAGATTTGCAGCACCAGCGTCCGTATATGACGACTTTGCTCCATTTGACTGAGAAGAACTGCGAGGTATAAATAATTACGGTGATGTTTTATCTTTGTAGAGCTGTCTGTCTGTCGACCGCCTGCTCTTCAGCTTCAGAGCACAGTGTGGCACAAGTTAGCTAAGCTGCTGTAGCAGTTTGTCAGTGGCTGAATCTGCCTTCTACACCAAAATAGTGCCCTGTTAGTCCAGTATGGAACTGTGCACACATGGCTGAATCTTAGAAGGCTATTTATTAGACATGTGATGATCTTTATGGGTGCAGGAGCAGCTATTTTAATATGTGGTGCACTATGTAGGGAGCAGGGAGCCGTTTGAGACTCAGCCAGTGTTTTGATCAGGACTCGGAGGCGCAGCGTGTTGTTTTGAATGAAACAGCTTTATTGCAGACAGAGAGTCTGTAGGGGCTGCGTTTCACGTGCAGTGTGAGCACCCATGTCATGTCAGGTCAGTCAGACCGAGTGTTTTCATACAGTGTGAGTGCATAAATCGCAGGCTTTGGATGAACACGAGGGGCGATTCAAACGTACAGTGTGAGTCACCAAAGAACAGGATTTCTAAAATCACACAGTATGTCTGGCTAAAGAGGTGCTTCCCCATTACCTGGTCGAGTTGGCGCTCAGCTGAGTTAAGTCAGGTGCAGGGAAAGCAGGACTGGAACTGAGAATAATTGGTCTACATACGGTGGATTATTTCTCCTCTTACTGAAACTATCAGCAGTTAGAATAGAGAAAAGATTCACAAAAATATGGTTGGTAATAGTGCCAAGATCTTTTCCAAGTTTGGAACAGCAAAAAGTTGTGCTGTTGCATTTTTACAGCGTGATCAATACCAACAGACGCAGCAACGTTTGTGATCTTTACCTTGGCGAATAATTCTTGCTGCTGACGGAGCAGCTCCTCCTCAGGGATGCCGAGGTTTTCCAGGCGTGAGCTGGCCTTCCTCCGCTTCAGTGCGACTGTTTTACATTCCTGTAAAACGTCCTTCACTTCCGCTATGTATGACCCAAAGCCGAGGCTTTCAAGTGCTGGGGAAAAAAAAACAAAAAAAAAAAAACAGAAAAACAATTTAATGAGATTCAAGAATATTCTGCACATGTTCGTCACGTCATAGTGAAAGTTTATACCGTTCAACATGGCGGAGCAGAAACTGTTCTGCAGAGGAGACGAAGTTTATGCTCTGATCTTTAAAAGACGGCGGTGGGACGGACGTCCAGCTTATGTGTCTCAGAACACGACGTCTTCCTCTCGGCCTTCTTTAATAAGGACGTGTGAAGGACGTTTTCCTGAGTTTGACATCATTTTAAAGCGATTAAAACACAAGCACTGCTCACTGCTGCTCATCTCACTCTGATCGGACTCACGTGATGCTGGTTGTCATGGTAACGTCTACACCAAGTGGTTCTACGCATCCACGTGATTTTGGATCAGATTACTTGTAGTGAGCATGTAAACGGAGATTTTCTATTAGAGTGTTGAGTAGAGTGAGACTAAACACCTCAGCCTTAATCTATAATCAGATTGTATACAGTCAGACTGGCAAAAATCTTTGCTTATAAACACAGACAATGACAGCTCTAACAGGTGTAGCTAAGCAGTGGTGTCTATTCAGTGGAAGCATCTTATTTAAGTTGCATATCGCTGTTGTTGAAGAAAACCTCCAAAACCTCCAAAATGGTAACTTCACAGGAGAAGAAAAAAACCTACTTTACTTTTAATGTAAGTCAATGGAACCAGATTTTTTTCCAAGTCATTTTGGGTCACTTCTTAGTCCATTCATCATGAAATTCAGACACAACGTAAAGAGCAACAGGTATTTTCAAATTATGTCAAAAACTGAAAAATGGAAATGAGGTTTTCTTCCTACAGCAGCGATATTTATCCTCCTTCTGCACGGTTACCTTCTAACACACGACACAGGGATTCATAACGACTGCAAATAAACCACAACGAATGGCTTTATAATCCTCGTCACTAAGCGCTGAGATTATGTAAAACTGAAAACACTCCGCTCGTCTTTATAGCTGGTCCAAAACGACCAGAGTCAGTGGTTATTTTGGCTGTGGAGAATCGCACTGGATAAAGTCATGAAGAGAGCTGGATCTCCCTGAATTTTCCAGATTGTAAAGGTTACAAAAATATACTAGATTACAAATAAAGTCCAACACTTTCTGCTAAATCTTCCCAGACTTGCCTTGGAACTACCTGTCCAGCAAAGCGCACTCCTCACTTCTGTGTGCTTCATTTATATTCGACCAAGGCTAGCAGCCAAGGACCCAGCAGAATACTACAGCATTAGAAGCTAAAAAGTACTGGGTTTATCCTCTAAATAATAAAAGACTATATTTATTATTTTTCCCTGTTAAGATTTATTTGATAGATTCATGTTACTAATCCAATTTTGCAACCCTCACCATCTCCAGTCTGCACCACTAACTGTAGCATGTGTGAAAAGCTGTCTAGCGCAAGAGACAAACCGCCCCTTACTTATTGCGCCACTAAGTCTGGTTCAGGTCCTCTTTTTGACCAAACAGGGACAAACTTTTCAAAATAAATCTAGAACCACACAACACATTATACTGCAGTTCTACACCGATCATCCTTGTTTCTACCCTCATTGTCCATTTTATCAGCTCCACTTTCTATATAGGTGCACTTTGTAGTTCTACAGTTACAGACTGTAGTCCATCTGTTTCTCTGATACTTTGTTAGCCCCCTTTTACCCTGTTCTTCAGTGGTCAGGACCCCCATGGACCCTCACAGAGCAGGTACTATTTGGGTGGTGGGTCATTCTCAGCACTGCAGTAACACTGACGTGGTGGTGGTGTGTTAGTGTGTGTTGTGCTGGTCTGAGTGGATCAGACACAGCAGTGCTGCTGGAGTTTTTAAACACCTCAGTGTCACTGCTGGACTGAGAATAGCCCACCAACCAAAAACGTCCAGCCAAGAGCGTCCTGTGGGCAGCGTCCTGTGACCACTGATGAAGGACTAGAGGATGACCAACACAAACTGTGCAGCAGCAGATGAGCTATCGTCTCGGACTTTACATCTACAAGGTGGACTGACAAGTTAGGAGTGTCAAATAGAGTGGAGAGTGAGTGGACACAGTGTTTAAAACTCCAGCAGCACTGCTGTGTCTGATCCGCTCGTACCAGCGCAACACACACTAACACACCACCACCATGTCAGTGTCACTGCAGTGCTGAGAATGATCCACCACCCAAATAGTACCTGCTCTATGAGGGTCCATGGGGGTCCTGACCACTGAAGAACAGGGTAAAAGGGGGCTAACAAAGTATCAGAGAAACAGATGGACTACAGTCTGTAACTGTAGAACTACAAAGAGCACCTATAGAGTAAGTGGAGCTGATAAAATGGACAATGAGCGTAGAAACAAGGAGGTGGTCATCATGTTATGCCTGATCTATGTACTGCTAGATTTTGCGATCTGTGTCTGACGTGTCTAATGCCTGAAGTATTCTGACCAAAATAAGGTTTATATGTCTTGTGTAACAGCAGTATTGCAAGATTGTGCAGCCTTACAAGTCACCTCATTTCAGTTTGCCACAGGAAGAAGCGAAGACCACAAAACACCTGTGAAAGACACTTTAAGGGAAGACGCTCTTCTCTTCTTGCACTGCATAAGCGAACAACTGCAAAAGCCCATCCAGATTTTGATGATTGTTTATACTGCAATCACTCATTTATGCACAGTTATTGGGTCTAATTAATGCACCGATTCATTTAAACACCCACAGAGATTCTGCAATATTAATAACACCAAATACTGTAACACAAATCAGCAGGCGTTATATTGTGCAGCCTTACTAGTCAAGACCACAAAGCATCTGCCAAAGCAACTCTGGGGGAAGACATCCTTCTTCCAGTCTTCTGCGAAATCTAAAATATGGTAGATGTGAATGAGGGCTGCAGGATTAGAACCTATACTATTGATCTCCACCACCTACAGTAACTCTGCGTCAGGGCTGCCCAAAGACGGCGCATGAGGATGTCATGTAACTGCATGAAATACACATATATTTTTATTTATTTTTTTTTTTTTTGTAAAAGCTCCACTCAAATTAACAGAACATGTGTTTTATGATCACACATATTGCTGTATGCTTACAATTTACTGCTGAAAGCCAAAAATCTTAGACGCTCTTTGTATTATTTTATAATAATAATATTTACAGAGCAGATCACTGAAGAGACGCCATCTGTTTATAGTTTATAGCCCAGATTTGTGGAAAAATGGGTCGACTTTCAGTAGAAAAAAAATTGTGAGTTGAGCTTCTTTTATTATAAGGGTTTAAAATTACATCACCCATCTATTTGACTGGAAAGAAGACAGTTACAGCTCTCATACAACCCCCACCTTTAGAATGTAGCTTATGAAAAATGAAAGTTATGGAGAACACGACGAAGTGCGTTTTGTAACCACCGGTGATCCCAAGGAGTGGAAAAGGTTAATTGCAACAGAGTGTAGACAGACAGCAGAACGCACAAAACACGGTTTAAATGGAAAGAATTTAATTTAGACTGACTTTTTAATTTACTTGATTAAGGGAAAACTGATATCGTTTTGTTATATTTTGGCTGCACATCCTTGGTTTTAAATTTTGACAGGAAAAAGATACTAGAGTTTTATTTATCTTTTGTATCAGCAGGAAGATTAATGAAAATAGTGAATTTTTATTTTTATTACTTTGTCATCATCGTTAGCAAATGCATAAAACAAACACACATTTAAAAGCTGAACAGCTACATAAGCGTTATTTGGAAATGTAGTGATTCATAATCTGAATAATCGATTATTCGTTTCAGTAATTCGACTATCAAATTAGTCGTTTGTTGCAGCCCTAATGGACATACAGTGTTGTGGCTCCAAAGACAGTCAGCCCACCACAAACACTGCACTGTTGCATCCCAAGATAAAGTTCTGCCACCCCGGTTTAGGTCCATCTACTGCTGACCCAAACCATCTACACTGACTTCAGATCCCAAAGTAGACCCACCTATAGTGAACCCAGGCCAACTAGACTTCAGGTCCAACCCGAATAAACCTTACCTGATCCATCTAAGTATTGCTTCAGCACAAGCTTGATGCAGAGAAGAACCCTCTGGTGCTCTACAGAACCCTTTTCAAAATGGCTCTATGTAGAACAATGTGTAACACATGATCCATCAATCTGAAGAACCATCTTTAAGTGCACAGATTAGCTGAAAGTGTTAGATTCGGGTTGGGGGTGAAACCTGCAGTAAGGCAGATGTCCAGAAGGAGAGCTGGTGACCACTGCCTGTGACCATCTGTTGTGGACCTAGGTCCATCTATCACCCACAAAGGATCCTGGTCCATCTGTTGCGGGTAACGCGCTACTAGGGCTGAAAGATCAATCATCGTTCTATCGCAATTTGAAAGAACGCAATTTCCAAATTGCAAGAGCTGCAATTCTTACAATACTTCGATAGTCTACTATCAACAACACTCTTAAAGATGGTTCTTCAAGGGTTCTGTGGTAAAGAAGAGGGTTCTGTATAGAACCATGAACACCAAAAGAACCCTATGCATGGTGAAACGGTTCTTCAGATTGGAGAATGTGTTGTATATTTTAATGAAGTCAATGATGTTGAATTGGGGCTGACGACACACTTAAACATGGTTCTTCAAGGGTTCTTTAGTAAAGAAGAGAGCTCTGTAGAGAACCATGAACACCAAAAGAACCCTACGCATAGTAAAATGGTTCTTCAGACTGATGGAGAATGTGTTGTATATGGTTCTGTATAGAACCTTTTTGAAAAGGGTTCTATTGTTCAACAATCTTGTCCTCAGAGACAATAGCAGAACCCTTTTTGGTGCTATGGGGGACCATATACAACACGTTCTGCTTCAATCTGAAGAACCACACGATTGCGTCGTTCTCCCTTTATACAGACAACAGAAGCCCAAGGCCTTTTTGAAAAGAAAAGGTTCTTGTATTTTTACAAGAACCCTTTCCGGTGCTACGTAGAACTATTTACACATTCTCTATCCGTCTGAAAAAACATTTCACAATGCAAAGAACCATTTAGTCATGCAAAGGGTTCTTTGAGTATTCATGGTTGTGCACAGAACCATTTTCTTTGCTAAAGAACCATTGAAGAACCATCTTTTTAAGTATCAGTGTTGATTCATTGCAAGTTTTAAGTGTGGAAATTGAACATAACCACATGGAGCTTGTGAACAGCTTTTAGACGAATCAGAAGCAACCAAACATCTGTGTGCTGTGACATCACAACCACGAATAACTGGCAGGCTAGAGCCAAATAAAGCGTGCGCTGGTCTTCTTAGCCAAAAAAGGCTTTTAATAGGAAACATCAGCAATTTAAATCGTGGTCAGAAATATCGCGATTAGATATTCCGCCAAAATCGTTCAGCCCTGCGTGCTACCAGCACCAGCGCCCTCAGTGAAGGCAATCCAAGTTACATGCATTAAAGCATTAATCCGTGCACGACCCTCACCGTTTATGACGTGCTCCGGGGAGATGGTCTTCTTCTCGGACTTGTTGCAGATTTCGTTGGCCTCGGAGGAGATGAGGTGGATGAACTCCGTGCAGCAGTTCACCACCAGCTCCCTGGCGTCGTTGGCCACCCGCACGTTGGGCAGCGTTTCCTTGATCATCTTATTGATCGCGGCCCTCGGGATGGTCAGGTCGTCATCGTTTCCGGACGAGGAGGCCATCCTATAGGATCTTTAGGTATATTATACACCACAGTTAGCGCGACAGAGGCCGCCCTGAGCTGCTCTCCACAGCTGGGCTCTCACGTTACCTCGGGTCAGAGAGCAAACGAGCCCGAAGGAGTCAGTAAAGCGAGCCAGCCGGCTCTACCTGCGCGACCGGCAGCCCCCGCTGCAGAGCCCGAGTGGAAGCGCTGGCTAACCAGGCGCTCCTACCAAAAACAGACGCAGGCGAAGGGACGCAGAGGTCGGGCTGTAGAGAAGAAGGGGGTATTCAGGGTCTGAGCACACGAGACGCGTCCGCCAGCTTTTGTCTGAGGCTGTGTGAGCGAGGCTCGGGGCTCAGTGAGCGGCATGAGCGCAGCACCAACTCAGCACAACCGCGGGCATCGCTCAGCGCAGCGCAGCGCAGCGCTCCGGGTCCTCCGAGCTCCAGAACACAGCGCCTCCGACGCGCTTAATTCATCACAGCCATGACTTTAATCCCCCCCGCGGTCAGACAACTCCCGGACTCGGTCCCACAATGAAGGCTAAAGGATATCCGACCGTCGCGCTGTCTCTTTTTCCCCCACCGCGCCGGGTGCGCCCCCTAGCGCGCCGGCGTTAGAAAGGCATGGGCTGTGTTCCCAATCGGTGACCATTGCTAGGGGTAGTGGTGCACTCGCGGAGCGCGAAAGCCATTTTGTATCGGAGTTCGTATGGAGGACCAGATTTGCCCAAATGAAAAATAAATAAAATTAAAAAATAAATGGCTCAGTAAATTAATCAATAAAAGAAATTACACACGTTTCCTTTTTCTGCAGTTATATATTTCTCAATTTATTTATTTCTGTAGTATTTATTTTTTTTATTAATGCCATTTTTGCATTTTTTCCATATCTATATTTTTAACAATTGTTCACTTTATTCATTGATTCACGTATTCATTTATTTATTTTATTAATTCATTTATTTATTTTTTTCCTTAAATTCCTTTATTTATTTCTGTATTTCTTCGTTCATATGATAATGAGGGGGCGTGTTTTTCACGTTCAGGCTTAGCAATCAAGACCAGGAGGAGAAGAGCTGATTAAACTGCTCTTTCACTCCATAAAGAGCTGCAGTGTACGGAGCCCCGCTGGTGACATCCTGTATAAATAAAAAATAATGCGTGGCCACGACTTAGTAAGGCGTGGGAATGAGATCCTAATGCATGGCCACGACTTAGTAAGCCGTGATCTCGTTTCCACACTTTACTAAGTCGTGGCCACAACTTAATCATCTCATTCCCACACCTTACTAAGTTGTGGCCACAACTTAGTAAAGCGTGGTAACGAGATCCTAATGCGTGGCCACGACTTAGTAAGCCGTGATCTCGTTCCCACACTTTACTAAGTCGTGGGCACGACTTAATCATCTAATTCCCATGCCTTACTAAGTCGTGGCCACACATTAGGATCTCTGTCCACGCGTTAATAAGTCGTGGCCACGCATTAGGATCTCGTTCCCACGCGTTAATTAGGCGTGGCCACACATTATTTTTATTTATACAGGATGTCACCAGCGGGGCTCCGTAGCAGTGCCACCGACAAACCTGCCAATAAATAACTTTCAGTGGGTTCCGCAGGCAGCGTGTGAGAAGGGCGTCCGAATGTCTGAGTGATCTGAACTGTCTGAGTGTCTGACTGTCTGCTGCTGTAAACAGCCTCTACTGTACTGTCTGGCCCTTAGTTACCACTGAGAGAGCAAGACAATCGATCTACAGAGTCTGACATCGATCATCCAATAGGAATATTAAGACGCTGTGACATCATTGACTGACAGCCCCTTTATTAGCAAAAGGACAAGGAAATACAGAAATAAATAGATAAATAAATAAATATAGAAATTAATAGTTATGGAAATAAATGAATAAAGTAAATTAATAGAAAACCAGAAAAAATGTTAATAAAGAAACATATAAATAACAACAACAAAAAAAAAAATAGTGAGAAGGGAAAATTACTAAATAGACATATAAATAAATGCAGACATATTCGTTTATTTATATATATAATGTAATAATATTATAATTTATTTATAATTTTATTTATTAATGTATTAATTGTTATGTATATTTATTTATTTTCAGATTTATCATCATTACTCTTTGCAATTCTACTTCATATATTAATTTACTAAGTCATTTATTTTTATTTAATTTTCATTTTGGCAAATCTGGTCCTGTATAAGTTCGAGCCCTTGTTCCTCATATATGTAGCACACTAGTTTGGGATTTACTTATTATGTGTTGTCTCTTGTGTTTTGCCCACTAACCCTTCAGTTTTATCTCAGTCTCTTGATGTTTGTTGCTGATTTACTTGATTGTTATGTAGTCTTCGGTTTGTCTCTCAAATCGACCCCGTGTAGCACACCAATTTTAAAGTCATCTACTAAGTGTGCTTATGTTTGTGGTCGACTTAAAGGAGGGAACTTGTAGAGAGAAGAATTACCACTCTGTAACATCTTCCGGGTTTCTCAAACGCTAGAGGGCGCTCCTGAGCGAGTCCAAAATGAATGGGTTAATATGGAGCTTTTGAGCAAAATCATAGTGTATAAATGCTGAAACATTTTTAATGTAAAAGAGTACAATCATATCCTGAACACAGAGCAGCATAAAACATTTTAACACCGCTGTTATATTTTTAAGAGCTTTTCAACTCAAATTATAGGAGTATAAATGGCGCCTTATGTATATTCATGATGTCAGTGAGCGCAAACAGCCAATGAGCTGCTCCGCTCACCAACCAATCAGCACTCAGTAGCAGTTATGTTAGCGTTCTGCTGCCCAAAACCCGTTTGCTGTAGAATAAATTAAACATACAGGTGAGTTTACTTTGCTTTTTTAGTGAAATACATCCTTCTACTGTCTAAAATTAAAGAAAAGACACTTATTTCCAGGTTTTGCGTGCTCACGTCTAGGGGTAGGGTATCCCAATTCTTGTTGAGATAGAGGGGTAGGGTGAAGTGTTGGACCCTCCAAACAAAGGTTTTTCAGAGACTCCAAACAGAGAGTTATGAGAAAAAATGAAAAACCGGCAAGATGGAGAACAAGAGACTAAAGAAACCCACAAATGTGAGAATTTTCTCCATTAAAATTTACGATAACCACTGTATTATCTTAGTTTAATGTCGTTTCAGTGTATTATGGTCCTTTTCTTCATAACAAAGATAAAAAATCATTAATAGCATGCTAATGTCTCTGTAGCTAGCTAGCTAATTTTCCCGTTCCACCTTAAATAGTCCAGCTGTTCTGACACCTGAAGGACCAGAATGTAACTGCTGCTCCATTTAAGGTGGAACGAGAAAATTCATACAAGAATCTGGTGAATATCTGACTTCAGCTTCATATCACTGAAGAATTAGGGGTGGGTGATAATAAATAATTGCCCCTCTCTTTGAAGGCATATGATGCCCTAAATGTAACTAAAGCCCAGCAGTGAGGAGCTGAACTTTACCCTCCTCTGCTGTCACTGCAGACTGGCAGGGTCGCCTATAGAGCAGCGCTAGTAGCTGTTATGGAAGTGATGCTCTTTTTATTTGAGGGTCCCATTTCAGTGGGAAGATTTCAACCACTACCCTGTAACTCAGTTCCATGGGATTAGAGTGACACTCGAAAACAAGGGAAGTAGACTAGACCACTGTAGTCGTGCGTCATTCTGTTGTCCGTGTTATGCCCATATTCAGAGAACTCGACTCCAGCCCATATTGGGAACTCTGGGTCTAAGCTCCATTTCTCTATGGCCAGATTGAATAGGGTTTTCGAAAAATCGCCTCTCATTACCATAGGTGAGGGTCGGGATGTAGACGGACTGATAAACAGAGGGGCAAGTCCTTTCCCCTTACCTGGAGTGGGCAAACCATCCTTTTCCGGGCTAGGACCATGGACTCAGACTTGGAGGTGCTGATAGGGGTTAAGTGAGGGAGTAAACCAACCATTCTGATGACAGCTGTTGCTAAAATAATATGATGTTGACTAGGTAAACCCTATATTCTACATCAAACCTTCTCTGCTGGAAACGTATTTGCATGTCATTAAAAATGTATTTTCATATATTCTATATTTCATTCAGTTAAATATCCAAATTGTTTATAGCCTATCTGTAAATATATTATTCACTATTTGCTGTCTTAATATACTTTTATGTGTATTTTATGCACATATAATTTTTTCTTACACTTATGCACACCCGCAAAGCAGCAGGTATAATGCAGTTATCTTCTGTACGGTTAGAATCCGTAGGACAGCATTTTACTTTAACGCTGTAACGTCTGTGAATACCTCAGAAGGCTTAAATGCAGACTGTGAGGGGGTCTGTTAGAGCCCATGTCTGAAGCTGTCATGTAAGATATAATACAACATAGACATTAACCCAGCATCGATCGGTCCAGTTACATTTGCCATTCAAGAAAAGCACAAATGCAGCCACTTGGTTGTAATAAGCCTTTATCACAGTTCCACACAAGCCAAGTAGAAATACATACAGTGGATAATGTCAGATTACAAATATGAAAGCTATCATTTGTGACTTATACGTGTTGCGTGCTAAGGATAAAGGAGGAATACGATTCGTGGAGAAAGAGCAGTCGGTCTTTGTGGATTTCAGGCGTAGCCATGAAGACATTAAGACTTGTCTTTGTCTAGACTGAAGCTCTTGCGGCTTCTCCAGCGAAGGAGCTTGAGGAAGTTGAGGCTGGCACTGAAGACCTTATCGTGCTCAAACACAGCCTTGTAGAAGGTGTCAATGGGCAGGTCACCGGTGGGGTCAGCGTACTTCAGGGTGGTCAATGGAGTGTACAGAGTGTTGGTCTGATGGCGGAAGGGTGGGTTGTCCATCGTGATGATTTTGAGCGTATGCTGGTGACGGAAAGGTGCGATTATTAATCAGACAGTTGGGATTCAATGACAGGCTGAGGAAATATGTACTCTACACAAGGGGCTCAAATTACTGACCACATATTAGAAATTAATGCCCCTCTCATATTTACCATTTATCCTTAAATCTGACCCAAAAATCTTTTTTTTTCTCTTTATATATTGACATCTGATGAGTAGTTTTGCTCCACCTACCAGACAATGTGGCTTGTTATGTAATATAAGCTATATAAAATCAGCTAAAACTAATGTGTAGATTATTAAAAGCAAAAATAGAGCAACATGAATGCTGCGCACTGTGCAGGCATCATTGTAATTTAGCTATTATTCTAATTTAGAGGTTGGTTAAATCTGCCTTTGTGATTCAATTCACAACATAAAAGTAGATACAGCATGTCAGAATTATGAATTTAATGTAATTATCAAATAAATTGGTTTAGTACCTTTTTCATACCAGTCTATCTAATGCAGTTATCCAGTAACAACATCAAATAATTAATTATAATAATTTATAGGGGGTGGTGCTGAAAATAATCTCTACAATTGCAAATAACAGCCATGTTTAAAATGTATGTATATTTCAGATTAGATTATTTAACATCAACACATACAGCATATCTAATTTGCGTTCTCATGGGGTTCGTGGCCCACTGGGGCCCTAAGCAGCTGTCTGCTTTTACCGAGTGCAAAAACTGCCCCTGGGCAGGCTTTATAGAACACTTTATAGAACAAGGTAAGAACACTTTATAGAACAAGGTTCTTCAAGGGTTCTGTGGTAAAGAGAATGGTTCTATTTAGAACCATGAGTTCTATATAGAACCATTTCATGCTTAAATGGTTCTTTGCATGGTAAAGTGGTTCTTCAGATTGATGGAGAATGTGTTGTATATGGTTCTATGTAGCACCAGACAGCATTCTTTTCGTGTTACAGTGTCAAGTTTGTCACAATAGAAGAACACTGTTTGGTGCTACATAGAGCCATTCTCAAAAAGGTTCTATGAAGGACCATATAAAGCACATTTTCCATTGGTCTGAAGAACCATTTCACCATTTTGTTAAAGCATGAAATGGTTTTAGAACTCATGGTTCTAAATAGAACCATTCCTTTTACTAAAGAACACTTGAAGAAGCAGCCTTTTTAACACTTGTGTGGTGTTCAGGTCTGTGGGACCCGTTTTCAATGTTTACCAGAATAAAATATGATACGATTTATTATAATTTCAACCTCAGATTCTTGGTCTTTGCTCATTTTCTATAAAGAACATATAAAATAACCCATTTTCAGTGTCTTCACTCTGTTCACCCCCCACACATTTATATTACACATGTGGTGTTGAGTGAACCCGCGGGGAGTAAAAGTGTGGAGGTGCTGTGTCCTTCACTCTGTTCTCCTCCTACATGGCCTGCTGTTAGTGTGTGTGTGTGTGTGAGGGTGGACAACATGGACAGGCTGCTGACTGGCTACAGCTGCTAAAGGTGAACCCTACGCTGGACACTTGTGATATTTTAAACATCTGGTATTTTTATATAAATTGTTATGGCTGTATTGATTTAAAAAACAATAATACGGTGGGTCCACGAGACCACTGAGTAACAAACACATCAACACCACACAAGTGTTGAAAATGAACAGTAGCAAAAATCCCATTCAACCTAAAAAGAAACTGTAATAGACCTTGTTTAGAATTGCTACATAGTTCTGAGTCTGACTGTGCTGCTAACTGAAATTAGGCAGGTTTAAAACAACGAAAACTGGCAACCAAGCCAACATTAGCTCAGCCACCATGCTGAACTACACCGGGTCTATCCTAACAGTATGCACTTTCGCAATACTAGGCTAAATGGGACTTTTATCAATGTTCCGTAAAGTCTATCCAACCAGCAACAACCACTAAGGAGCGCATTTGTGTCTTTACTATTTGTCTGTACCTCTGCAATGACCTCTGGCGACTGCCCGAGGCTTTCAAATATCTGGATCCAGTGCCTCATGTAGATGTTGATGAATATGTCTGCAGTCACTTGGTCTGCTTTCGAGAGGTCAGTCTTCATGCCCTCTTCGTACACTTTACGCTCAAACTCTGTGACGACTGGTCCTGGTTCGATGAGACTTATGCTTTAAAAGAAAATAGAAAGAATTAAAAGCAGTACATAGAAAATCTTAGTCAGACAGGCAAACTAACTTGGCCTTATGTGGAATGGAACACATCAGTATTTTCATTTACTCTGCAGTCCTGGGTGGTTCATTTCTACCGAGAGAAATGCAATTCGAGTGAGACTCTTTATACAACCCCATTTCCAAAAAAGTTGGGGCTCCAACTACAAAGACAACATATCAAATGTTGAAACTGAGAAATTTTATTGTTTTGTGAAAAATATATGCCCATTTTGGATTTGATGCGAACAACACATTCCAAAAAAGTTGGGACGGGGGCCTGTTTACCACTGTGTTTCATCACCTCTTCTTTTAACAACACTCTGTAAGTGTTTGGGAACTGAGGTGACACTGCTGTAGTTCTGAAAATGAAATGTTTTCTCATTCTCGTTTGAGGTAGGATTTAAGCTGCCCAACAGTTCGGAGGCTCATTTGCTGTATTTTCGATTTCATAACCCTCCACAAGTTTTTAATGGGTGACAGATTTGGACTTGTAATACATGCAGAATGTGGTTTGACATTATCTTGCTGAAATAAGCAAAGCTTTCCCTGAAAAAGACGTGGTCTGGATGGCAGCCTATGCTGCCAAAACTAGTATATATCGTTCAGCATTAATGGTGCCTTCACAGATGTGCAGGTCACCCATGCCATGTGCACTAATGCCCCCTATACCATCATGAATACTGGCTTTTGAACTGTGCACTGATAACAAGCTGAGTGGTCTTTAGCCCGGAGGACACAGTGTCCATGATTTCCAAAAAGAATTTCAAATCTCGATTCATCAGACCACAGGACACTTTTCCACTTCGCCTCAGTCCATTTTAAATGAGCTCAGGCCCAGAGAAGGTGGCAGCATTTCTGGATCCTGTTTATATTTGGTTTCTTCTTTGCGTTTTAGAGTTTTAACTTGCATTTCTGGATGCAGTGATGAACTGTGTTCACAGACAGTGTTTTTCAGAAGTGTTTCTGAGGCCATGCAGTGATTTTCCACTACAGAATCATGTCTGTTTTTAATGCAGTGCTGTCTGAGGGCCCAAAGATCACGGCCAGCAAATACTGGTTTTTGGCCTTGTCCCTTACATACAGAGATTTCTTCAGATTCTCTGACTCTTTTAATGTTATTATGTACCGTAGATGATGAAAAGCAGAAGTTCTTTGCTGTTTTACGTTGAGAAATGTTATTCTTGAATTGTTGCGCTATTTGATCGTGCAGTCTTTCACAGAGTGGTGAACCCCTCCTCATCTTTACTTCTGAGAGACTCCGCCTCTCTGAGATGTTTTTATACCCAGTCATGTTACTGACCTGTTGCCAATCAACCACCAGGTGTTTTCTTAAGCATTAGACAACTTTACCAGCCCTTTATTGTCCCAACTTTTTTGGAACGTGTTGTTGGCATTAAATTCAAAATGAGCATATATTTTTCAAAAAACAATAAACTTTCCCAGTTTCCACATTTGATGTGATGTGTTTGTACTATTTTCATTGAAATATAAGGTTAAATGATTTGCACATCATTGCATTTTGCTTTTATTTACATTTTGCACAGCGTCCCAACTTTTTTGGAGATGGGGTTGTATCTATTTGTGAGGAAATGTGTCATAAATCTGCAAGTATGCTTAAATCCATGAGCCAAGCCTGAAGATAAAACCCAAGAATCCTCTGTAAATGAAAGCAAGTCGTGGCTGCTCCAGCCAGCACTCAGCTGTGGTTATATAATGTGGAGCAGCGCTGGTAGGATATTGCCATTGAAGTCCACAGATGTTCCACATACAAGTGTGTGTGACCCAGGTGTGTGTTTGCATGCACAGTCTGAATGACCTCTCATGCCGGGTTAGAAACACGCAGAGGCCTTTTCCATCCTCAAATATGACAAGCTAAGAAAACAAATATGTACACTTCAAGGTAAATAATAGTGTGGGCACTATTACTATTAGGGCCATTCAAACACAGTATTGCTGGGAGTCATTTAGCTCTGTTAACCATATGTTTTGCATTAGTTCTCCAGCATGACCATAAAAACAAAATCAAGCAAAGATATATATTATATGACATAACTCACTTCAGTTTGAATCTCAGAGCTTGCACTGCCAGACTTTCACAGAACCCCTCGACGGCAAACTTAGAAGCAGCGTAGATGTCGTTGAACAATATACCTGTGATGAAGTTACAACTTCAAGATTAGTTTTTGCAAAACATCTCAGAGATACAGGTGTTCCTTTTCCATGCATGTGTCGAAAGAGTGCTGTCCAGGCTACGGTACGTCACCACATTTGGTCGTGGAGACTTCTTATTTAGTGGTTTCATGAGTGGTTTAAGCACTGTCCTTATTCTAAGGACTAGATTGGGAATCCAAATAAGCACTCAAAGTGGATCTGTTTTACTGGAGAGATTCTGTAATGAATTAGTCAGAATTTGATTAAATATTTATCACAGGATAAGGTATCTGTGTAGTTTCCACAAATTTTCATAGATTTGAAAGGTCATAGCCTGGATGTCCACATCAGCACAGAGCATAACTCATAACAATAACAATAACACTCCACAATTTCTACTGTCAGACTGTAAAACTACACACACTGCAGATTCATACTGGATTAAAATCACTCCACAATTATTACTGTCAGACTGTAAAACTACACACACTGCAGATTCATACTGGATTAAAATCACTCCACAATTATTACCGTCAGACTGTAAAACTACACACTGCAGATTCATACTGGATTAAAATCGCTCCACAATTATTACTGTAGACTGTAAAACTACACACGCTGCAGATTCATACTGGATTAAAATCACTCCACAATTATTACTGTAAAACTACACACACTGCAGATTCATACTGGATTAAAATCACTCCACAATTATTACTGTCAGACTGTAAAACTACACACACTGCAGATTCATACTGGATTAAAATCACTCCACAATTATTACTGTCAGACTGTAAAACTACACACTGCAGATTCATACTGGATTAAAATCGCCAAAACACAGCCTGAAGAGGGATTTGGACCATGCTGATAAACTAAAGTATGAATATTAATCAAACATGGTGAACATACATGACATAATATGTCATTATGGTGCTGGTTATTTAGCCCCCACCTTGAATCCCCATTACACTGCTGATAACCACGATATGGCCACTCTTCCGTCTCTTCATGTCTGGCAGGATCTCCTTCAGGAGGCGCACAAGACCGAAGAAATTTGTGTCCATGATGGTCTTCATCTGCTCGATGGTCTGGCACTCGATGGGGCCGACCAAGCCCAATCCTGCATTACTGACTGAGAGAGCGAGCGAGAGACTCTACAACAGGGAGACTCTTTGAAGGGCGACTTCAACCCACTTACAGTACAACAAACACAGTTAATTCTTTAAATGTAATTGTTTTATTCAGTAATCGTGTTAGTCTTCCTCAGAGTCCCAGCTGACACATGTATTCATGCCTTATTCATTGTGCCAGAGACTGACACACAGCAGGGGGATTCCTTTTAGAGATTTCCAGAGATTTGTGACTGTCTAGTAGAATCACCCAACTCCTGTTATCCAGTTAATAAACTGCAGGCTTATTATTAAGTTATTAAAGGGGAATTCCACCAATTATCCTAAATTTATAGTGTAGTCAAATGGTTCTGTTGTAAACAAAGGCATTCAGAGTAGTTTGAAGTAGAATGCGCTGTTCTAAAGAAACTTACCAAGGCACAATTGTTCACTGTACATTGTTCAATTGTTCAGTGATAGGAACCAGACGTCAGAGTTTAATGCCTCTGAGAGCTCACTCACAGGAAGTTATTAAATGAAATGGTTGCAAATTGTCGCTGTCCAATGAAAAACATGTATCTCCATTTTTTGCGATTTTTACTTTTCTGCATCATTTGAGCTCAGCAGCCGTCCTTTACATTGTGTGAAAATTTAATGATGATTGGACCAATAGAAATGGTCCAAAATTGCTTAGAATAAAAACTTTTTCCATTAACTTACATTGAAAGTAAAGAACGTTTTTGCCCTCTCCTGTAAACTTACTATTTTGGAGATACTTGCTTTTCGTTAGACAGCGCCGAAATACAAAGCCTGATGCCAGAGAGGTTGATTAAACAATTTAAAAAGCTCTGACGTAAGAGTTTGACTTAACCCTCTACTGCACGCATTATGAGAGCAAGTAAAAAAATATTCGATTCACTTTTCTTGCATAAAATCGACCTGATTATTAAATTCAAAAACATTTTTAAATAATAATGTGTTTGGGGTTTGTTGCCCTGAGGCAACGTTGTGCGTCAATGGGGAGAAATGATACAGAGCCGTGTTCCCTGAAGTGGTGAGACCTGGCTTGTGACTGGCTGAATCCATTCCACTGCCCTACAATGTTGCTTCTAGGCAACAAACATACTTCTGCAAATTCTCACAACAAAAAAATGATACTGAAATGTTAATAAAGAGGTTTAAAAGTGTCCAAGTGTTTAAAAGGTTTAAAAATGGCCAGACACATGCTTTTTGTTGACTTACTCGTACTTTTCCCTTTATTATTAACCCTGTCATTGTCGTTAAATATATATAATGTTAATGTAAAGTGAGGAAAATGGGTTTGTTGCCTAGAGGCAACGTCATGCAATAGAGGGAAGTTTTTGTTTTTTTATTCCATTTATTAGTATTTATCAGATTTACCACTGTTCTACCATCATCAGTATTACATATAAAAAGACACATGTAGGTTCACAGGTGATTTTAGATAGTAAACATTGTAAACACTGTGAACTCTGGTTCCTTTGACCACCACTGTAAAGAAATCTGATTTAGTAAGTTTCTCTACAGTCCATTTTACATCAGGCCTCTCTGAATGACTTTGCTTACATCTCAAAAACTGAATTACACAGAAATTTTGAAAAATCTGTGGAATTCGCCTTTAATTTTAAGACGTTATTCACTAAGTATATTAATTATTCTTTAACTGCTGTGAAATTAAAAGTAATGTTAAGAGAGTGACATACAGGCCCATGCAGTTTAAGCAGTTTAAGTGAATCCTATTAAGAGATGAATCAACTTGTGGTGATTTTGCAGCATGTGATTATACGCAAGTTCTTTTTTAAAGTTTAATTGTCCTTATTTTTTAGCTATAAAGAGCTGGACACCATATAATTCTTGCAAAATTCTTATACGCAAGTTTGAGAGCTGTAGAAACATTGTAAAACATAACACAGGCAACATGAGACAGCAGATGACTACTATAAATAGTAGGTGACTACTATAAATGAAATTACCAAAACATACACATATATATTCAAATATACATTCATATTTATATACTACATACACTATGGTTTAATAAATAGATGAGTAAATTCTTACTGAGGATGTCCACTCTGCGGTCAGGTAGGCCGTCCACACAGTCTTTGATTGATTTCTCATCACACACGTCCAGCTGTCTGATCTCCAGGGTCTGGCCCAGAGTGCGTCCCGCTGCCTCCACTAGAGGCTCCTGTTTAGCCAGGTTTCTCATGGTGGCGTAGACTGGTGTTCACAACAAACGTGTTAGACGGGCTGTATGTCTGCGTAACCTCTACAGATCCACCATACACTAAAACATGTCGTGCATTCAGTGTACAATGATTCACAGCTACTGCCAAAAGTAAGTAAACTGTGTGTTATTGTATTATATGTCATTCATGTGGAAATCATGTACATCAAGCAAATTCAGTGCATCACGTTTTTCAGTGTACTGTCCCACAAAGCCAAAGAGCAACAGTGAAACTGAGAAAAACAGCCTCACAGTGCTACTGTGGTTTGGATGTTGCAGTTTTCTTCCTATTTTCTATCATTCACGGCATAACTGGACCAAAAATGTTCATTACAATGTTCATTAAAACTGTTTTAATCCCAGGCTTTTTACAGTTTTATTATTCAGTGACTGCAGGGACTTCAGTGCAAACGAGTGGAATTATTATTAGGTTATAGTGTGTAATCAAATTTTGGACCCATGCTTATTCAAGGGGTTGACCATAAATGCAGTTACTGCATTTTGTCTTTGTACAGCAGTATAGCAGACAGTGGCTGTGTTTACATGCAAAGATTTTTGCCAATCCGATTGAATACAATCCGATTACAGATTTAGACTGAGGTGTTTATATGCACTCTATTCAACAATCGGATGGAAAATCTTCGTTTACATGCTCACTACAAGTAATCCGATGCAAAATGACGCGCATGCGTGGAGTAGCGCTTAGAGTAAACGTTACCATGACAGCGAACATCACGTGAGGTCCAGACCAGTTTCTGCTCCGCCATGTTGAGCGGTGTAAACTTTCGCCGTGACGCGACGCACATGCGCAGAACATACTTACACGTTCCGATTGGAATGTAATCGGATTCAGGCGTTTACATGGCTATTATTCTTCTATTTAACGGATTATTTAGAAGTTTACCCACCTCGTTTAATCGGATAGAAATTGTATTCCGAATGGCCTCAATCGGATTAGACTATTCCGATTGAGGTGTTTACATGGACGTATTCTATTCCGATTGACCTATTAGTCGGATTATTAACGGATTATCAGGCTGCATGTAAACGTGGCTAATTTGATGGAAAATCTTCGTTTACATGCTCACTACAAGTAATCCGATGCAAAATGACGCGCATGCGTGGAGTAGCGTTTAGAGTAAACGTTACCATGACAGCGAACATCACGTGAGGTCCAGTCCGCGTGAAATGAGTTTCCAGTTGGCGCGCTTGTGTTTTAATTGCTTTAAAATGATGTCAGACTCAGGAAAACGTGCTTCACATGTGCTTATAAAGGAAGCGGCGGGAGGAAGACGTCGTGTTCTGAGACTCATAAGCTGGACGTCCGTCCCACCGCCGTCTTTTAAAGCTCAGAGCATAAACTTCGTCTCCTCTGCAGACCCGTTTCTGCTCCGCCATGTTGAACGGTATAAACTTTCGCCATGACGCGACGCACATGCGCAGAACATACTTACACGTTCCGATTGGAACGTAATCGGATTCAGGCGTTTACATGGCTATTATTCTTCTATTTAACGGATTATTTAGAAGTTTACCCACCTCGTTCAATCGGATAGAAATTGTATTCCGAATGGCCTCAATCGGACTAGTCTATTCCGATTGAGGTGTTTACATGGACGTATTCTATTCCGATTGAGCTATTAGTCGGATTATTAACGGATTATCAGGCTGCATGTAAACGTGGCTAGTGAGTAGCTGGACCGATTTCCAACAGCAGTTTCCACAATAACATCAGAAACACTGTAAAAATGCCAAGAATGTAAATTTTACAATAAATTTACAATCTACAAATTTGCTGTGATCAGTGGTTTCCACTCCTGAGGCCGCTTGCATTAAACATCAGAGAGGTTTTCCTTTCACCTTATTAAGTAAGCTGCATAAAATCTCTTTTTGTTTAAAAATGAATTCCACCGATTTTTCAAATCCTCTGCGTAGATCAGTGGTGTAGATGTAAACAAAAGCATTCAGAGTGGTTTGATGTAAAATAATGTATTGTAGAGAAATGTACCAGCTTGTCTACAAAACAAAAACAAAGCCATTTCATTTACTATCCAAAATGTATATTGAATTTTTATATGTACTTTTGATGATGGTACAATAGTGGTAAACCTGAAAAATAAGTTTTCTTTTATGGATGATTTCTCTAACAACAGAGTGCATGAAGGATTTAAAAAAAAGCATTTTAGAACTATCGTAAAACACAGTTTCAGGCAACGGGCAGCATATTCATTTTCATAACTATTGCAAGTAATAATTTTCTGTGAGGGAGCTTTTAGAAGCATTAAACTCTTTGGTTCCTATCACCCCCACTGTGAACAATTCTGACTTGGTAAGTTTATCTAGAACAGAGCGTTTCACACCAAACCACTCAGAACAACTTTGTTTACATCTTAACCGTTTATTATGCGAGAATTATGAAATATTGGTGGAATTCTCCCTTAAGGGGGAAGTGAAAAAACAAACATAATTGCAAATTGAGTTGCAGCACTTCCGTTTTTGACAGATGCAAATTTACAGCCTTTAAAAATAACTTCACATAAATATTTAATATAAAATATTTAATATTTAATTTGTTTTTGTTATTTGAAAATGCTTAAATAATGCAAATATTGGAAAAAGAATATATTATTGTTTTAATTGGGGTATACCATAAAATCAAATTTTTCTCTAAAAACATCCTTTTTTTTGAAAACAAGACCAAACAAATCCAACTTCTACAACCCAATATTCACAAATATTGTAAATGAATACATTTTCAATTTGTATTTGGAATACATGGTAATAACAACATCATTATAAGAATTCCTGGTCATGCGATGTCATAAAGTATTTGTCCTTTTAAGTAAAAGACCATTTTTCCACAATTAAATAGGAAAACACAGATTTTATATCACTGCTTTTTAGTAAACAACACCATGCAATAGAGGGTTTAGATGTTTCATGCAAGCAAGTGGTCCTGAAGTAGCCTGGTGTTTCTTCTGCTCCAACTCTCAAAACTCAACGAATCAGTTAGTCAAGCCCTTAATTTGCGCAGGTCTGTATGTGGACCCAGACATCAGTTGCTAATGTGTAATAGTTTCTGAATAATAAGTCTAATAGTCTAATAATAATTGAACAATAATTCTAGGGTTCAAGGTTAACTGAAGAGCAAGAAAACACTCAAAAGTGCAGAGCAGTGAAAACCCCAGGAAACACAGTGCATTGACATGTTTTAAATGCGAACATCATTCCCACATTAAATATTTTACATCAACACATCTTGGTTTTTGGTAACTAACTTTTAGCAACAGTTGGTGATGTAATATATTTCATTCATGCACACATTTGAATCAGGTACATTAAATTTGTTTTGTTTTCAGTGTAGATGAAACCATCCAGGGTGTTCCTCTGCTCCTAATCAGCAGCCTTACCCATAAACCTCTTCTTCTCGTCTTTGGCCAGAAGGACGGCGATGGCCAGTCCGATGCCGGACGAGCAGCCGGTGATGAGGACGACTTTCTGGCTCATGGCGGTGGTCCTGGAGATGTTTTTCCTGAGGAAGGAGAGGAAGAATGAGGCAGAGGGAACGAGAGCTGGAGACGTTGCTCAGACACATGCAGTAATCCACTGTGCATAGACTCAGCAGAATGACCCATGTGCGTGCATTACTACACGATTAGTCCTCGCTCTGTTCACGTGGAGCAGACATGGGCCGCAGGCTTAGCCACTCTAATAAAATAAGACTGATAAATAGGTGGGGTGTCTCTTATGGTGGGCTTTGTAATATGCATAAGTAGGAGGTCATCAATTACTCTCATGGATATGATATACAGAGCCTCGCTAAAGTATTCAACCCCCATAAAAGTCATCAGATTCGTCTGGATTACAAAGTGGAGACTTTGATGTTTTGTACTGTGTCATATTTTATTTCAAAAGACTGATCCTTTTAATTAATTTAACGTGATGTTTTTTTAAGTACAGAAAAAAAATTTCTGTGACAAAAATTACTCACTGAAAAATGCTGTTTGCATAAATATTCAACCCCTGTGCTGTGCGAGTTTATGCTGACAAAAGACGTTACCCTAATGAAGACATACTCAGCTTACAGTTGGCCTCTACCTGTGGATCAATAAAGAAAGCTCACAATTTCTGGATAAAAGACTCCATTAATTCAAGTAACAGTGGTCAGATTGTGAATCTGAGGGACAGTTGTGAAAATGAAGACGAAGAATCATTCTAACGCTCTGCTGGAGTGAATGTGTTAAATGGAAGCTGCATAATATGACTCAGGCACTGGCCATACAAGGCTGACCCTCAGAACACAGCATCAGAGCAAGAGGGCAGTTGTGAGGGAAGCCACAGAGAGGCCAACAATCACTTTGAAGGTGTTACAAAGCTCATTTGCTGTGATTGGGTGAAGATGCACCAGTCAATGACATCAAGAGCTCTGTTTACAACTGGCCTGTATGGGAGGGTGGCTAGAAAGTTGCCATTAGTGAAGGAAAAACACATCAAAGCACGTCTGGAGTTGGTCTGAGTGACCCAGCTAAAATGTGAGAGAAGGTTTTTTGGCCAAAATTCAAAATGCAATATTGGGCGCAAATCTAACACTGCCCATTCCCTTACAAACACCATCCCAACAGTGAAGTATGAGGGTGGCAGCATCCTGTTGGCTATTTCTCAGCTGGGACAGGGCATCTTGTAAAAACAGAAGAACGAATGGTGCAAAACAAAGAAATACTGCAAGACAACCTGCTTCAGTCTGCTAAAAAAGCTAAAACTTCAGAGAAGCTTCACCTTTCAATGGGTCAGTGATCCCAAGCACAAGGCCAAAGCAACACAGGAGTGGTTGAACAACAAAAAGGTATAGGTATTCTGCAACAGCCAAGTCTAGATTTCAATCCAATCAAGAATCTGTGGTAGTATTTGAAAATTGCTGTCTGCAAGCATCATAGTAACCAACTAATCTGAACATCCTAGAGCAAACCTGCCAGGAGGAATGGGAAACGGCGCCATCTATGGTGAACAGTATACAGAGGTTTTAGAACAACATATAATCCCACCCAGCCATCCAGGGAAGGCCTTGCCTATTTCAGCAAGACAATGACAAAGACTGGATTAATACTGATGGATTTGATATTATGCTCAGTGCTGGAGGCTTTTATGAATAACTTAAATAATAATAATAGTAATAAATTAATGTAATAAATCAATAATAATTCAGTTTTGAATGGAAAATAAATGAAAGGGAGGAGTATCTATCTCTTTTATAGCTTCTTGACTTCCTACAAAGTACTTGAAACCTGTGAACCTGCACAAGCCTGGCATATTAACACTTTTATACATGCCAAATTGGGTTTATATTACTGATCCCAAACCTTTGAAGCAGTAGTGTGTATGCATTCAAAGACTGACAGCATGAGACGTTGTTTCAAAAAAGCATGTTTTATTATGAACCAGCACACATCTAATACTTCATTATTTGATATGTGTGTGAAATCCTGTTCGTAAGGCATGGTCAGTAGAGGTTTTTGAACATTTTGCGGAGCACACTGAGACCGAGTCGAAAGATATTTAAACATTTTTGAATTTTTGGATTTGTGCACTCAAACACCCTTTACTACAAAGGTCACATTCACATGTCAGATAAGCGAGGGAACACATCGTTTAAGTTCCTGTCTTTGGTTTTTCGTAAAAAATAAATCAGCTAAAAGATTTATTAAACGTAACAATGTATTTCAAAGCTAGTGTATATAAAGGTAAGGCAAAGCAATACATCTCCTTCCCCAAAATGTTATTATCGGTACTGTAACACAGTGCATACAGTTGCTAATGCACAGTATTGTTTTATACTGTCCATCTACAGCCCTCTCAGGCGGTACCAGACTCAGCCTATGGCAGAAAGGAGCACTTGGGTGTATTCTGGAAGCCATGCAAGAGGGGGTGTGGGCTGATTAGAAACGAGCGCGGATGCGTTCCAGAGGATCTGTGTCCCACATTTTGGCATCCCATGCTTGGAACCAGCCGGTAAAGGTGGGCGGCTCAAAGCCCTGTTTGATGGTGGTGATCGGGGTGCCAGTCCGTCCAGCTGGGTCTGAGTCCACGTATTCTTTGGCTGGAGAGAGGAATGCAAGAATAATTACACGACAATAATGTGCGTTTGAGAACGTTTTGCTTCTCTTAAAAAATCTAATTTACACTTCAAAACTAAAAAAGCTGTGTGCAAAAGTTTGGGCACCCCCGGTCGAACTACATATTTTGTTCATTTGGAAGTTAAAATAAGTTCACACCCCCTACAGAGAACATTGTTGGTGTTTATTCGCTGTATTTCACATATTAGGGAAAGAAATAAAATAAAACATGTGTCCTGTGCAAATATGAAATTTATGGTTTATTTTTCCAATATGTTAAATTCAGCAATTCTTTAGGGTATTTTTTTAAGCATATTTAGGGTATTTAAACTTTTCCATAAAGTCAAAGACCCAACATATCTGACCGACTACATTGGGGGTAACTATTCTTTTAAAGGCTGTTTAGTGTGGCCGGTATTGACCACACCATATGTTATGTTACACAGAACACTTTTTGCTAGTGAAAAAAGTTGCACTGTTGTATCAGCACCTATTTTAGCGGATCCACTCCTCTCCACCTCGTTGGCCTCATTGCCAATCCAGAGGAAAATCTACAGAGACAAAGACGTCACATTAAATGCTGGCACTTTCACACACAGGAAGCTTTACTGAGCAAACAGGATGTGTCTGGCAGGGTGGGAGTTGCAGTGTTTCCTCTGCAGCTCTGAGTTTGAGGGGGAGAGATGTGATAGAATGTGCAGATGTACCTGGCTCCAGGTGTCCAGAAGCATGACATCATCGGTGGCTAAATCAGCCTGAGTGAAGTCTCCTGGCACTTCTTCCACCTGGGAGGAGGAGCAAGGTGAAAGAGAGAGGTTTAGGGGATTTTGTGACCGCAGTTATTGCACAGGCGACAGCGACAGGGTGTGTCGGCAAGTTAGGTCACTATTTCATAGAAAAGTTGGTCATATCCCTCAAGTAAAACATAGTTATGTGCAAAAGTTTGAACACCCTCAGTTAAGTTACATTTTGTTGATTTTCTACACAACACATTCGCAACAAGAAACTAATGTAAAAATGGCATTTATCAGCCGATTTTAGTGCACAATTTCTGTTTATTTGAGTTTGACATATCAAACAAAATAAACCATAAAAAATAAAAAGTGCACTTACTTTGTCCAGCCACATTTTATGTTATATATATATTTTTTCCAATACATTAATGTGCATTAAAAGGTGTTCTGTGTAGTGGATGTGTCCTTATTTTCACTTAGAAAATCAAAAGCACACATAAGTTGACCAGGGGCGCCCAAACGTTTGCCTACATCTATAGCTAAAACAGCAGTAGCAGTTATTTTAAATGCCCAAACTGTGTCTGGACTTTTGTCCGAGTCTATGGGGACTCGTCCTCGTTTGTATTACATAATGCCAAACGGAGCAGTTTACCAAGGCCGCTTCGTCATGTCATCGCATAAAATTTTATGGACAAAATTCTGTTCATGTGGACGTCAGTAAGCTGGCAAGCAAAACAGTTTTTAATGCTATTCTGCAAACCAAAACCTGTTCAACACACTGAAATCAGACATGTGAAAAGTCCAAATTTACAGTGCAAAACTAAAAAAGCTGCGGTCGTATGATTGGTTGAATTATAAGTTTTGTTTGATTGTTCCTGTAATTAAATGTAATTATATCCTCTTAAACAGATGTAGAAACAGAAATAGTACACTGTATATTTCACTATACAGGGTGATTAAAAAAGATTCATCCAATTTCAAAATGATTGATTTCACTTGTAAATCATTACAGAACAATGCAGTGAACTGTAAATGGTTTAAATGAGCATAAAGTTTATTATGTAATTTTGCAAGCTACTCCAGCTGTACAGACAACATCAACACCATAGTCAAATTCATCCCATACTCGACTGAGCATGTCGGGTGTCGCTGCACTCACAGCTCTTTCAGTGCGATTTCGGAGATCATCCAGTGTTCTTGAACCAACGCCGAACGCTCTGAGCTGTTGGAGCTTCACTGCCCACGAAAATCACGCAGTTATGACGGATTCACTCTTATTGAAGTGGAGAATGCAGAACGCTTTCTGCTCAGGGGTCTCATCTCCTCACAGACTGAAGGGAGCCATCTTCTGGTGAAAGTCAGAAACTCTATGACCCCCACTTTCAATTGGATTGTGATTGGTTCCTAGACGCCTCACTGGTGTAAAAATATGGTGCTTTGAAATCGGATAAGATTTTTTGAATCTCTCTGTACATTTACTGGCCTTTTAATCAATATCTAGAATATATGCCCCAACCTGCTTATTGTAGCTCCTGTTACAAAACTGAAAAAACAAACCTGGAAAACGAGACATGTGTTGGCTGATCCGGGCTGAAGGTAAAACCGTGTAACCCAGGGGTGTTATATGTTACCCGCAAAGGGCTGGTGTGGCTGGCATGAAAACTCGCTGCCACACCGGCCCTTTGCAAACAACACTGGACATCCCTGACTATTGTTTTAATTCAGCTCATCCACTGAAGCCTGCTCCATTCACTTACTATGAGGCGTCCAGTCTTGTTGGAGCAGCCGAACAGGCGAGGAGGTTGAACCGTCTTCTGCAGACTGCTGGACGTCTGATATGCCTTCTTTCCACCAAGAGCAGACCAGAAGCCCGCTGAAGGAGGGGTAGAAAGAGAGAGAAAATATTACGACAACTTCAGTAATGTTACCATAGACATCTTTAGCAGTCCAGCATGTTAAAGTGGTAAAATGTAATGTTTTCAACCAAATCTACTGAACTTTACTCTACACTCTCGGACATACACCATCCTGTAGATCACAAGTCACCAACCTGGAGATCTACTGTCATGCAGAGTTTAGTTCCAACCTTAAACTAACACACTAGCACCAATTAACCAGCTGGTTCCGAAACCGTTTCTTCCCCCCGGGCCATCAGGCTGCTGACCAGCCAGTAGTGCTGGTGTATCGGTCTATAGGGCTGTCACTGCACCTCTGAGTCAGCATCATGATGATCTCCATGGACAATCCACACTGCATCCACACCTCAACAGACTCACTCTGATTTTATTGCACCTCCAATCCAGCAAATCTATACTCACACATATAAATTGACATCTTGTACATCTTCTATCCATATCTTGTATAATCTGGAAGATTTCTTTATCGATATTCTGTCCCTGTGTACCTGCATCTTATTTATTATCTACCTCATATGTATATATATATATATATATATATATATATATATATATGTATGTATTTTTTTTTGTATTTAGGCTCTACAAGGGGGCTATGCACCCAGATTTTAACTCACCTTTGCACCTGTGTAAATGTGATGTGACAATAAACGTGATTTTACTTGATTTTGATTTGCCTGTCCTTAGTAAGTAGTAAGTCCTGAGTATTAGAACTGTGTAGAACCTAACTCTGCAGGATGCTAGGTCTCCAGCTGGGCACGCTTGCCCTACTTGAACTTTTGCTAAAAATGAAATCTCTAAGCTTTCAGGTGAGTTTGCACGTGCATAAAAACATTTATAATGTACCAGACACTTTTGCATGCTCATGAGACAGTATAGACACTGCATACTAAAGTTCTGGTGTTGACAAGAAAGTTTTAAATTGGCAACTCCCTTCAGGGGTTCAGTACAAATCCAACTCTATTAACACAGACAGTGACCCACCTGGCTCCTTCCCCTCGGCCACTTCAGTGACGCTGCCTCCCAGGAAGCTGCAGACGTATTTGGCAGCGGCCAGCTCCTCTTCCGTCGCCCCAACTCCTCTCCACAGGAACAAGGAGTCAGGGCTCTTCAGCACAAACACATCATTGGTGTTCAGATTCGAAGCAGTGGGCTCCACCTGGGGGGAGGGAGGAAGAAGAAGAAGAAGGAGGTTGTTGTGCTTCTTCTTTGAGATTCAATGGAGTTTTTCAGATTCTATGCACTGTAAATAGAACAATGTCAATCAATCTAATTCACAAGTAATTGTTGAATTGCAAATCTATTTTTCAATATGTCACATTAATGCTTTGAGGCCTAATGATTTGAATTATATCAAATCATGGTGTGTGTACTGTGTTCGGTTTTGCAGTATAACGTAGCTAAAATAACCAGCCCTATAAAATATTTATGAAATAAAATAAAACATAGTGAAGCAGTTAAGAAAACCTAATTAAAAAATAGAGACAACAAAAAATGTTTAAAATGGCAGAAAATATTAATTCCTAGTGTTGCGGCTGTGAGTTGTGGGTGTGGCTGACCTCCACAGCACGTGTAGCACGGGTGGAGCTCTGGCGAATGTGGAAGAGACGCGTGCTGCCCGTCCTGCTCTGCCCACCTTTCCGTGAAGTCCCACCCAAGAAGACTATCACTGGCTTGCCCTTAAAGAGGCTCATCAAATGGGGGGGCTCCTGGCCTTGAGTGACACGCACCTGCCAATCATCACACGGCATCATTGTGAAATTTAACAATGCAATAGTCAAGAAAACTCGAGAACCAGTTATCTAACATTAGTCAGAGCATGTCTTAAGCAGTTTAAGACAGTGATTCTCAACCAAGTGCCATGAAAAGCATTTCATTTTCTGTTTCCTGTATTCTGTCACACCTGATTCATGAGCCAAGTCACATGTTTGGAAGGCAAAACATATAAAAGCGAATATTTTTTTTTAAAACCAGCACATTGAGAACACTGCTTTACACTGTTTAAAACAGACTGAATTTCCCCAGGACTGAAAATGAGAGCCACACTGTATGTGATTAGTTTTGAATCATTGAGGCTAACCTGGACAGGAGCTCCCCCCATGGAGTCATCCAGTTTAACAGTCAAAAAGGCTGAAGCAGCCAACTCGTCCTGGGTGCACTTCAGGCCCTGCCTACAGTGGTCAAACAACAATAGCGATCAATCAATAACGTCAATTACTGAGAACATATACTAGTCATGTACATCATGGCTGGAGGGTCTCACCAAGTGTAGATGATATGCTGCTCTCTGCCCCCCTGGTTGTAGCTGTAGAGGATCAGGTAACAGTCTCCTCCGTAGAACTGCCCGTAACTGGAGGGGTCCACGGGAACCTTATCCCCACCTTCAACGCGCCACGCCTGTCCAGGTAAACCAAGATTAAAACCTCTTCAACCAATATGAAACACTTTATTTTAACAGTGCGCTATACTTGCTTCGTAGACGTTTACCCTGTAAAGGACTTTACTTTTCCTAAAAGTAACCTAACCCTAATCTTGTTAATTAGCTGAGTGTCACCAGAGAGCCTGTTAACAATTTCTGCATTTGTGGATAATTTAGTGCACCATCAAAATAAAGAGTGATAAGGTTTTTGGGTGCCTTATCACGGCGATACGCCGTACCACTGCCATAAACCCAGAAGGGAATATTGGTTAATTTAATATTGTTTAATATGTCAATGTTTACAGGTCTATATCTTTGCCTTTGCTAACTCAGTGTACCTGTGTATCCGCTAACATAAAACAGCATCAACATTAGGTGACTCCAGGAGTATTTTACACATGCATTAGGCATGTCACTCACAGCAAGTGGCAAAAATAGGCTTGAAGCTTACAACTGTACATCATGTGGATGTGACTTCCACGACTTCTGCTACTTGCTGTGCACAGCCAGTATAAAAGGCTACAGTCATTAACAAATGATTTCACTGCAACCGTCAGCAAAAACTGAGGTTTTCCCCCTGGTTTAAGATAGATAGATGGATGGATGGATGGATGGATGGATAGATAGATAGATAGATAGATAGATAGATAGATAGATAACTTTATTGACCCCGAAGGGAAATTGCAGTTTTACAGTAGCAAGGCATATAATTGCACATAAATTTACATATATTAGGCAGAAATAAAATAGGAATAAAAACAGACATAAATTAGGCAGAAACAGGAAAATAGACATAAATTAAACTATGAAAGAGTAGGAATAGAAGTATATCTATTGCATATTTACATGGCATATAAGACAGATTAGCTGTATTTACATGATAGCAGGTATTGCACTAAGTGGTATGAGGTAGTTTCAACACAATGCATATAAGCATAACTATGAATATCAGCTGTGTTTACAGTCTAAAGTGCACAGTGAAAGTGTCATTACAGTAGCAGGTTAAGACATATTGCGCAGCGTGTATTAACAATAGAGGAGATACTAAATGCACTTTATTTAGCTGTGCTCTTATGGAAAACCAAAACAAAAAAATATTAAAAAGGAAGAAATATAAATGGTTATGGTGGTGATGTGCCCACCACCCTGTTTGGCATGTTGCCATTGCATAGTTGTAGTGATCATTACAGGCTTATCATAACTTTAAAACCCTACCATACAGCCTTGTTCAGGGGAGGGCAATCAGGGCCAACTATAGCATCTTGTATTTTCCTGATTTATCGTACTTTAATTAACAGATAATCTCACCTGAACTTTCCCTGATCCATCATCCACCATGCCATGTTGTGCAGCCATGGCTTTGTTGGAGTGCAGGCTGGAGGCATTGAAGGGGATTTGCTCCACCTGGGCGATCCGGCCGATGGTGTAAGCCTTCCCAGGGCCTGTGGTCTGATCCTTATCCCTCCAGTTACTGAAGAACTGCTTAAACAGGGTGGTCTCCCCTCCAGCAGGCATCACTTGGACCTAGTCACACATTAAATAGGTCAGGTGAGAAGTTACTCGCATTTCTATCTTCCTAGGACTAAGAGTGAGAACCACACTGTCTGTGATTAGTTCTCGTATTGATTCACATTTATTTCCTAACCCTCATTTGAAGCTTGAACTTTTTTATTTTAGACCAAAAGCTTCCCAAAAGAGAAGAATAGAGTCAAACATATTTCAATCTCGGTACTAATAGATGATAAATGTGCTAAGAAGTTCCACTGCAGTTCTACAGGACACCTGGATTCACCTGGGTTCAAGAGGACAGCTGATTAGATCCTTACCTGGGTGGTTTTAGGATAGTTCTTTTCTTTGATAAACTGATCTGCTGCTTTCATGGCTGCCTTGCGCTCTGCTGCATTGGCGGTTGGACCTGGGGGTCAAACAAACACTAGTGGGTCAGAAACAGACTCTGGTTTTCTCACCTTTGATTTCATTCAGTCACAGTTTAACTCAATAGGTTTCCAATCCAGACCAACTACAGTACTGATTAGCTGACCTAAAGTACCAGTTGAGTTAGTAAAAAGTGAGAGTTTAAATTGACGTTTTACCCCAAAATAGTCAATCAGCCAAAATGTTTAGTGTAAGTTTGCTTCTCTGGTTTTGCTCTGGAGCTACAAGGCTCCAGAAGTAATGGAAACGTATCCCACCAGTTAGCATCAAGTTAACTACATGACTAAATATGAGGTAAAAGGAAAACTAAGCAAATTTGATTTTTCAACAAACTGTCGCATTAAGCATGTTGGGAGTGAAACAGAACCGAAATGTGGACTGGACTGGGTTGGGAAATTCTCTGTGTATGTAACCAATGACAAAAAGAAAAGTGGACCCACCTTTCCACACGAAGATTTTGCCATCAATGCCATTGTCGAGGATGTAGCACTCGCTGGGAGATAGCATCTCCTGCTTGAAGGGGCTGCTATGAGCCACCACTGAGGCCTTCATGGAGCCTGCAGCATCAGAAACCTAGCACACACACATAAAGATATTAGTTACCAGCCTTACTACTGCTTGTTGGTCCCTCATGACGTTTACACCTTGAAAGTAATCTTCGTACATTTTAACAAAAGTTTGTCAAAAGCATTGATACTAAACTTTCAACCACATTTGTGTTTGTAAGTAGACTCTTGTGCAAAAAATGGGCCAAGCCCAAAGTAGTAATGGTTTTTCTTGATGGTTTTGGCCTGGTGACAGTCTAGATTTCAACCCTAGGCAAAAATCTACATTTATACAAGTACATAATGCTTATGTAACTATATATAAATAATTATGAAATGTAGGTCAAATGTATAGCAAATTACAAATAGGGCTTAAAGCTACTAACTAAATGATAAACAAAGCACAATAGGAAATCCATCAGTCTTATGAGACATAAACAACTTTCTGACACACATACAAACATAAGCAGACTGTTTACCATGTACAGAGTACCCTTCTTATTGGCCCGCTCTACAGCCTCGTCATCGGGACCTCCTGGTGGAATGTTTGGCCTTGGGCCAAGAACCTAAAAATAAACACATGAAAAAAATCCTTTTCCTGTCATAATGCCTGGTACAGTTAAACTGCACCCAAGAAATATCCTACAACTATATGTGGAGAATGTGGTCAACTGAGGTCACTGTCTAGTTAGATGTATAGCATCACAAAGTTAAATAATTTCATCTTATTTGAACTGTTTGCTTCTTTAATTGGGCAACATATTTCACAACTGAATGCATACAAACAAACCCCTTTTGAACATAGGGATGAGAATATTTATCATAATTGTGATAAATTCCATTACTGAGCATAATGTCAGTGGTTAACATTCACTAACTACATGTTCGACAACAAACAGAGAATAATTAGTCCCGTGTAACTGAATATAGTGCAGCACAGTATGGAAAATGCTGAAAACAAGTCACTGTATTGATATTTTTTTGCTAGTAATTTGGTAAAAGTGGCTCTACTTTGTCTTTTCCAACTTACCAAATTTCAGAAAAATCATCATCACTTATCATGTATTGTGAAAACTTCTTGAAGTATTGTGATATTAAGTTTTTTTCCATATCGCATACCTCTATTTGAACATCTGTCGTGTTTCTGTTTTGCTGTTTTCGTGTCCTGTGTATAATAAAGCCTTACGTCAACAACAGCCTGCGGCTCAGAGCCGTCCTCCACAATCTGCACTTTGGCCCGTCCGTTCCGTTCATTATCGCGGATGTCAATGGCCACCTGAGATGCCTTCAGGCGCTCAAAGCGGTTACACTCATCGCCACACCACTGGTAGATATCCTGGAGAAAAAAAAAGCATTTTTAATATAATATTCAACTTACAGTGAATAACATTTACATTGGTTTGAAGCCATTAGATCATTATAGCCATTAACGCCTTATTACTAACCCTCTAAACTCTTAGGGGTCTATATGTGTGTCCACACTTTAGTTCCTCACTCTAATAATTGCAAACATTATATATTTAAATTATGAATTAAATATCTGATATCTCAAAACTACAAACCAGGGGTACTCAGCCCTGATCCTGGACATCTACCAGCTTACAGAGTTTAGCTCCAACCCAAATCCAACACACCTGATCCAGGTAATGAAGGCCTTTGTGGGGGCGCCTGAACATTCGAGCCAGATGTGAGGGATCTGAACTTTCCAGGGTGGTAGATCTCCAGGATCACAATTGAGCACTCTTGCTATTCACCATAACTAAGCTACATAACTTATATTTTAATTTTCATAACTTTAATTTAATTTTTAATTTTAAATATGAATTATTAGCTGCTTAATAAGGGACACATGTGTTACTCTCATAGCTAGATAACGTACATATTAGTTCCATAGTAGTTACTGACTAACTCATAGCAGTTACTCAGTAATAGATTAATATTAAGATACTTCAGGTACTTAATAACAGAATAGCGGTCACAACATGAGCCATGAGGCCGCACTGAGTTCCTTGAGTGTTTCTGACCTTGCCCAGGTCAATAATGAAGCAGTCCCCACGGTTGAAGCTGCCCCAGGACAGAGGCACCTCTGTGGCCCGGATCACCCTCCGCCCCTTAACGTGGAGCAAACGCTTCACGTTCATGTCGTTGGTCACCACATGCTGGAAGCCAGACGCCACTCCGCCTTGCTGCGTGGGAGAGAGGAAAGCTATCAATGGGTGTTTATGATTAAGAAGAACTTAACTGTCATGCCTAAACAAGTATAGACCAAGCTGTCATTATTAGGTTCTCCCACCTCCTACGCCTCCTATATAGATGCTCTTTGTAGGTTTATTCCTTGTGTGGTGTTGATGTGTGTGTTACTCAGTGGTCTGGTGGACCCACCGCATTATTGTTTTTTAAATCAATACAGCCAAAACAATTTATGTAAAAATACCAGATTTTTAAAATATCACAAGTGTCCAGCGTAGGGTTCACCTTTAGCAGCTGTAGCCAGTCAGCAGCCTGTCCATGTTGTCCACCCTCACACACATACACACACAAACACACAGACACACACGCTAACAGCAGGCCATGTAGGAGGAGAACAGAGTGAAGGACACAGCACCTCCACACTTTTACTCCCCGCGGGTTCACCCAACACCACATGTGTAATATAAATGTGTGGGGGGTGAACAGAGTGAAGACACTGAAAATGGGTTATTTTATATGTTCTTCACAGAAAATGAGCAAAGGACAAGAATCTGAGGGTGAAATAATAATAAATAATCATTTTTCTTCTGGTAAACATTGAAAATGGACCCCAACACCACACAAGGGTTAAGACTAAGGTTTAAGGCTGTACTAAATTACAGTACAATACCACTCTTATGGCACTTACTCTTATGGTAACTTTTTTCATAAAACATGTTTATTCTCTAAATAATTTAAAGACCCAGGGAACCTAAATTTTGGAAGGTCTAATCAGGTTAATCTTGTACTATATGTACCTTTTGATCATGTTCCAGTAAATGGCCAATGTATTTTACCATCCTCTCAATGTAAACTGACCGGTCCTAATTTTGGGTAGCGGTTCTTTAAGCATTTCCCTTACCAATCACAAGGACATGTGTCTTGCCCCGCCCACACAAAGCCGTTTCAAAGTCAGAGAAACTTAGCAAGCTAAAGCTAACCCAGCATAACCAAATGCTAGTAAGCTAAACCACCTGTACCTGTCCCCGTTTATTCACACGTTACTTCATCTGGCCATTTGTTTGTCCTTCCGTCAGTTCCATCTGTTCGTCCAGGACTTTTTTCATCCAGTTACCATCACATAAAAGCTGGAAATGATTTTAGTTCTACATGAGGGACAGAGCAGGCTGGGAGTTTTGAACCTAGAGCTGTCAATCAAGCTGCTCATTAGCCACGCCCACACAGCTCTCAGACAGGTCTGGTGTTTTTTAAGCCGTGTTTTATCATATTTATATCTTATTTTTTCATTAAAGCCTTACTGGATGTTTAATATAACACACAAGGTTAATATCATACAATTATTAATATTTTACTCTGTGTTCATTGGGATTTTAACCCCTTTAAAGGTCAGGAGCCACAGGCAGGTCCCAACTTTTATTACACACCTCTGTAACTTAAGAATAACTGTGCATTATCCATGTATTAGTCCACGTATTCAGCATAAAGAGGAAAATACAAACTCAAGAGCTGGAACTGGAGCAGCACAGTAACATTCACACACACACTTTCCACAAGGCTTCCTGCCTGTGTGTGTGTGTTTGTGTGTGTGTGTGTGTGCATGTGTGTGCGTGTGTGTGCGTTTGTGTGTGTGTGAGTGTGTTTTCTAAACCAGAAGTCCTCCCCTGCCATTTCTGGAGCCTAATTAGCTCACAGAAACCGAAAGCAGATGTGACCCAGTCTGATGATCTGCGGCCACAAAATCACCATGGAAACAGTTGGCATGGAGAAGAAACCATGCAAGAATGACACAGTAGTGCATATTTACTCCAGCGACAAAATGGAGGGGCTTCCAAAAACAATACCCAGAATCTTGGGCTGTAAATCAGAGAGTTGCCTGCAGTTTAAAAACACTATTTCCATCACAACAGGGAAAGTCTCCACAACGAAAAGCACTGGTCTCTGCTCCGTTACACAGTTTGGAATTTTTAGCACAATGTATGGAAAGTTAAATTCTTATTCAGGATTTTTAAATTAAAAAAAAATTAGGTGCTCTTTCAATACTTTCAATTTGGTGTAACTGTACTGTCCTACAGCGAACTCACCTCTTTCCCTACATCCTAACCAGCTTTAGCAGCGTTAAATCACGTCTGCTCCTCACAACTCCAGCACTGTTACAGCGCTCGGACAGTCATATTTTAATATTAGTGCATTCCCAAGCAACGAAAGTGAAAGAAAGAAGAGGGTTCATGTAAATTACAGCTCCGATTTAAACGAAAGTAAACTGAGGAAGCTGTGAGGCGTTGGAGAGCGGGAGAGCGCTAGCTTTCCAGGCTAGCTGTTTTTAGCAGCTGGCTAACTTGAAGCAGCGCGCTGTCACTCGCACAGCACGGAGAACTGATGATACTGTAGATCAAACAAGACACAAAAGCACCACTTTCAGTTTAAACGTACCTAAAAAGAGGACTCTGTTTGTCTGGTGTTGATATTTTGCGGTTCACCCCTTAAACTACTACGATAGTATAGAGAAATCCAGTCGTCTAGCTGGTGTCTGAATACTGTGATGTCATCTGTAACGGGGTAGCCGAGCGCTCGGCACCAGCTAAAATAATCTGTTTTCTTTCTTAAATTATGACCACTACAAAAATAGCCATGCTTTTCCAGCTGGTAAAAACAGCTCACCAGACACTTTCTCCCACTCTCCCGTGACGGATTTGTGAAATGTTCCACTGTTTGAGTGTTTGTCATGTTCTGAACATAAAGGATAGTTTAAAACAGCAATTAACCACCCAGGAGCAAAAATCAGCCTTCGAACTTGAAAGAAATAATGTTTTGACATTTATCGCGGTATGTATCGCTATCGAACGATATGAATTTTGTTTATCGTGATAACATTTTTGTCCATATCGCCCAGCTCTACCCAGCGTATATGATTCTGCGGGTTTTTTATGAACGTTTTGTGCATTATAAGTCAGACGTAATGCAATAAGAGAAACGGCACCTTATACTTGACGCCGGATTTGAAGTAGCCAAGGAAAGTGAGGGACTCGTTATTTTGAACTTCGCGAAACTGGACCGGCCCACCGCCCAGGAAGTCGTCCAGCTGTGTGGCAAAGATAGCTGCAGCTCCGCTCTCATCCTGAGAACACTCGCTCCCTACAACACCAACCACACAGCAAATAACAGGAGTGTGAAAATGTATTATGATGCATCTCGATCGATCTGAACGTAATGATTCAACTACATAGACAGTGGAATGTCAGAATCAGTTAGAATTGATTATTATAACACTCAATAATGCTTATGCTCATTTTCTGGCCACAACTTCTCAGCTTGAGAGGTACTTTACACATTAAAATTATAATCAAAACACTGTCTATATTCCACTACTTTGTAAAAAATTCTTAATCGTATCTTTATGAGTTACGAATCAGAATTTTGTGCTTTTTATATATATATATATATATTGCTGCTGTCAGAACAAAGCCTTGTATCTCTTTTTTGGTTGTTTTTCAGTTTTTTACATAATTTGAAAATGACTGTTGTCTTTTACATTGTGTGTAAATGTCATGATGAATGGACCAAAAGAAACGGCCCAAAATTACTTGGAAAAAATGTCTGGTTCCATTGACTTGCATTAAAAGTAAAAAAGGTTTTTTCCTTCTCCTGTAAAGTTACCATTTTGGAGATACGAGGTTTTGTTCCGACAACAGCGATATATATATATATATATATATATATATATATATATATATATATATATATATATATATATAATACTGCAACAATTTTTCAATATCTGACTTTTTCGTATTGAGCAATGTGAACTGACCGAGCCACATGTGAATGGCATAGGACGGGGCGGGGGTGGTGTAGAGCAGGACATAGGCATCTCCGGTGTAGAAGTTTCCATACAGCTGCTTGGGAACAGGCTTCAGGTCCATATTCTCCACTCTCCACACTTGCAGGCCAGGCTCTTTCCCGGCTGCCTGGAACTCCTTATGGAACACCATGATTCTGCAAACACAAACACGTTACTGCTGCATGGAGAACAGCATGCTCACATTCAGCACATGATCATTCTGAGTTAATCAGATGTGTGTCCGCGTATTTCCCCAAGGGTCACTTCACGACCCGCTGGGAGGACAAGAGTGAGACAAACATGTGTGCACCTGCACAGGTAAAGGCAGTTAATTAAATTCTCAGTTACACTCAAAAAGCAGCAGGTGTGTGCATGTTTGGAGAATATATTAACAGGTATTTGGGTAGTTGTTACAGCATCAAAAGAGCTGTGAAAGAAAATGGGATGACTGTGAACGTGGATGAGCACAGCTGAAACTGAAATGGACCACGATGTAATGAATATTCATTGTATATAAATATAAATAAGTATTGCAGTTTACAAAAAAATAAAGTTTCATTACAGTCAAACTAGATTAGTCATAGTGATCTAATCTAAAATAGCTGGGAATATCCTACACTGCTCACTCACTGGTTCAGGCAACGAGGCCTGCTTGGCAGGCGTGGCTCATAGAAGAGAGCCACTATGAACAGACTAGAACTACTGTTCCCATAACAGTTCAATCAGACTGTACTGACTAAAAAAGGCATGAAAATGACTGTCCAGGGAAATCATACATGATCCAAATGAGTATATCTGACTGAACAACACACCAAAACAATCCTTACTGCAGTGCTGAGCCTATAAAATGGTTCAGATTTTTAATTATGGATCACTCACTAATACTGCAATAAGAAGGACAATAACAAGCACCATTGGCTATGAATCCTGGTCCCTTATTAAATCCACTAGACAGCTTCTTTACCGTCTAATCTCATAACTCCACACTAATCCAATCAACAGCAGAACTCCTCCCCTCAACATGGTTTATAATCTCATGTCTGGTCTGGCCAAATGAACCACACCTTAGCCTGGACATTTACCTTCTTTTTCTATTTAAGCCATTTACGTGGACGAAGTGCACAAACCATGTACTTGAGTTAAAGTAGAGACACCTAAGGTATAATATTACTCCAGTAAAAGTAGAAGTTCCCCCCTTTAGACCTCCACTTGAGTACAAAAGTATTTGCCTTCAAATGTACTTAAGTATCGAAAGTGAAAGTACTAAAAGATTAATTATGACTTTAATGTCCTATTATCATTTTTGTAACAAGACTCGCTTCATTAACTCATTTTAGGTGAAAATACTCCAGTGTCTGTCTTGGTAAACCAGTCTTTTAATAGAATGTCATTAATTAGTGACGCTGATGTCTATTAAAATGATCATAAGCACAAAACACTGAAGGCAAACAGTTTCCATCAGGCAGAACTGAGTGGCTCTGAAATCACTTTTTGCAAACAAGCAAAGTTTCAGTTTAAGATTTATTTGCAACTTAGTTACAAGTTTAAATTTACTTTGTTCGAACCCTGATTGGTGTTCTTGCTTTGCGCTTCTTTTGTTTTGACGTTACGTTTTTATGCACACATAAACCAAAAGGAACGACAGATTTCTCATAATGTAGCGGAGTAAAAAGTGAGATATTTGACTTTGAAATATAGTGGAGTGAAAGTAAAAAGTCGCCCAAAATGGAAAAACTTCAGTACAGATACACAAAAAGCTACTTAAGTACAGCAATGAATTACATTTACTTCATTACTGTCCACCTCTGATTTAAGCACAGTGTGACGCCCATGAATGCTGTGTTGTTATGGCTTTAACATGGAGGGCTATGGTTTACAGATCATCGCAGCGGTGAGTCATACAGACCAACCGCACAGACAGGACACTGCACGCGCACAAGCACGGACGAGTTATAAAAGGAGGCTGTGGCTGAAAGCCTTTCATCTCCACCCCAAACACACTGGGTGAGCGTAAAACTGAACGGAAGACACTTTTTCCAGACAGAACTGAACGGCTGCTGTGTTACCAGAACAAAACCCAGAGCAGTTCGAGCAAATTCACCTTAACTTCCATCCCACTTCTGAGAAAAACGCCTCGAGTCGCGTCAGTGATAAAGCTGAACCGAAACCTCAGCTTTATTGCTCACTTCCTTATCAGCTCACATCTACAATACTATTTTTACGCGACCTGCAGCATCAAATGCATTAAGGCTGCAGCCTTAGTGACTTAGTGGTGCGCTGTCAGCGTTTACCTCAAACCAAAAACGTTACTGTAGTCGTTAAATGCAGTTAAAGTTCCCTCATCCTGAGCAGAACCCACCCCTGTGAGACTCACCTGCCTGTATTCCTGGTGAAGGTGAACTTCTGGAGAGATTTCCACTCAGCGATGAGGCTCTAGCAGCTGCTGTCCGCTGGGCTGGATGGGTAGTCCAGATTCTGCAAACAGACAACTGAGCTCAGGCTTGTTTTATAGGATGTGAGGTTTTCAGGAGGTGGAGCATCAAAAGTGCCAAAGACTTATGCAACAGCACTGGGCTGGAGAGAGGAGGGCACTAAAACCACCCCAAAACCTAAAGCGGTCTTATTTTAATGAAGTAGGTATGAAAGTAGTAGTAAAAAGGCACGAGGGCCAAAAAACTAGTCCAGCACTGAGTTTCCTGTAGAACTGGAGTGAAACCTCTCAGCACATCCAACATTAATCAGCATAGGAAGTGGAGTTTGTTCTTCTGTTCTTCTCCTTTTGGGATTGTTTTGGTCTAAAAACTGAACGAAAAGGCTCCAAAGTGAGAGATGTGAGCAGCAACAAAGCTGAACCAGCAGTATTAATGGCTGGGATTCAGGAAACAGCAGACTGAAATATATTCAGGTACAATCTTAGCAAAAAGGGTTCTATATGATAACCAATAAAATAAAACAAAAGGTTTCTATGATGTGTAATAACAGTGGAACCCTTAATGGTGCTATCTAGAACCATTTTAAAGAGTTCTCTAAAGAAGCATGTACAACAGGTTCTCCATCATAGAGAAAAATCATTGAACTATTTATGCATTCAAATGTTTGTTTTTTTTTCATGGTTATATGTATAACCATGTCACATTTTAACTAAAGGGGAATTCCACCAATATTTTTAGAATTTCTCCATAATTAAATGTGTAAGATGTAGACAAAGCAGTGCAGAGTTGTTTGGTGTGTGCTCAATTCTAGAAAATCTTACTGAGTCTGCATAGTTCACAGTGGTGGTTATAGGAACCAGACATCTGAGAGGTTTAATACCCCGAAAAGCGACTTTACAGACAGTTATCATGGGAAAGGGTTATGAATATGCTGTCTGATGTCTGAGACGTTGTTTTATGGTAGGTTTAAGATAAGCTTTTAACCTCAAGCTTGTTTTTTCATTCATAAATGGTGGAGAGGTACATGCAGGGTGTTGAGAGGAAAAATAGTTCCCAAAGAAGACTTATTTTTCCAGTTGCACCAGCGTTTCACCATCATCAACATTACATACAAAATCTCAAAAGACATTTAGATTCAGAGGTGGTTTTGGACAGTAAATAAAATGGCTGTATTTGTGATGTAAACATTATGACCCCTGGTTCCCATCAACACCACTGTAAAGAAGTTTCTGAATGATTTTGTTTGAATCTCAACGACTGAGTTAGGCAGGAATTTGGAAAAATCGGTGGAATTCCCCTTTAAGTACATGAAATAGGGCAAATGGAAGTCTGTGCTATCCAGCTGTGACAGTACCTTATCTAATTTGACAATGATAGCAAATATTCTCAGATAATAAATCAAAGATTTGTGGAATTCACAGGGCAGGAAGACATCAGTGAATCAATTCTCTGATCTGTTATATGGAAAGCTGTGACAAACTATCAATTTGCTGTTGTCAAAACAAAACCTCGTATCTCCAAAATGGTAACTTTACAGGAGAAGGAAAAAACCTACTTTACTTTTAATGTAAGTCAATGGAACCAGAGTTTTTTCCCCAAGTCATTTTGGGCCGTTTCTTTTGGTCCATTCATCATGAAATTTACACACAATGTAAAGGACAATGTAAAGGTTTTGTTCCGACAGCAGCGAATTATATAATAACGTATTCTAATAATGTACTGACATGAAAGAGTCTACCTAAACTATAACAGCATGATGCTTTTCCATTTTAATACTACATTAAAATGCATACAAGTATCAGTATTCAGGACCAGGGCATTAAAAACGGCACTCTGATTACTCATTTCTTTATGTTGATGAGAGGAGAACAAGCTTTCAATCTATTTCTCTCTTTCTATTCCTTCAACTCCTTTCATTTCCTCATTTCATGTACAACTTCTCTCATTCTTTGTACGACTTCTCCACCTCAGAATCCATCAATGATCATTTTCTCTGTTTCTCTATTTGCCCTTGTAAGAACAGAGCAGACCACACTGAAAAAAGTAATGTGTTGAATTTACTTGATTCAAATATGTACATAATTTCCACATGACTAAATCATATCAACACATATTTGCCTTTCAGCTTAAATACGTTTGGCAACAATTGTGCGGATGTAATTTATTTAATTCACATAGAAATTATGCACATATATCATACAACTACTGCTGTTTGTACAACTACAACTACTACAAATGATAATGAGTTTCCTTCTAAAATGCTGTATATCCATTTATAACAATTTTGATATGAGGTTTTGAAAAGAATAACATATGTATGATAAGGAAAACACATTTTTATCTCTCCTATAAAGGTAGTGTTAATCATAACAAAGCCATGATGTTTCCTGTACATGTAAAGCCCACGCTTAAACCGACATATCATGAAAGAAAAAGAAAAAAATCCTCAAAAATGGAAGAAAGAACTTTATTAACACTAAAAAATGCACTTTACATCATTTCCACATGAATAACATTTCATGCCTACATCATTCCGATATATAATAAAATATATTTCTCATGTAAAAATGATGCACATGTTTGATTCAAGGGAATTCAGTGTGGAGGTAAAAGCGTACAGCTGGCCCAAAGCTGCAGCAGGTCACCACAGAGCCAGCAAGCTTTTCTTTCAATATCCCAACACCACAGCAGCCCAGAGAGCAGGCAGGCTTTGCTTTTAATATTCAGCCCAGATCTACCCGGAGTCCTGTATTGCACTAAGCACACCGCTTAGCTTCCATACACCCACCACTTCTTATGAAACTGGATCATCATCTCTAAGGCATTCTACAAAGAGAGGGCTTTCAAACCCTGCAGACTCAACCTTTACGATAGTTCATGACTGCATATACATTGACTTGGCAGTTTATAAGAAACATCTGCCTTGTACCTGCACTGGCCATTTTATCAGAAACGCCTGCCATATAAGTGCACTATAGGTGAGAGTTTACAAGTATTAACTGAGGAACAACTGGTGCTGCATAATTTATCAGCCACTATCTATGCCATTCATCAGTGGGTAGTGGGCCAATCTCAGCACAACAGTGCACTGACATGGTAGTGTGAGTGGCACTGGTGTGAGTGTATCAGGCACAGTGGTGCTTTTACACACATCAGTGTCAAATCATGCAGCAGCAGATGGGCTGCAGTCATTATATGGTGTTTCTGATAACATGGCCAATGAATGTAGCTACAAGCCTCTGTTTTAGATACGGGGACAGAGCTTCCTTTATTCACGTCTCCTGAAGAAGAGAAGCTTTGGCGTAATTTGTAAGGGAGAGACTGAGTCATAACCACAGGGTGAGTCAGAAGCAGAGGGCCTTCGTGCTAAACTGAAGGGTTTCCCCAGCCTGTCCAGTTCTTCCATCACAACGTGTCACTAAAACAAAACACAAACTGATGTCAAATGCTTCCTCTACACTGAGTTATTCCTTGGCAAAACCGCTGTCCTGCTATTGTAGTACAGTGAAGAAACAGAGGAAAGCCTCACACTCTAAGGCTTTGTGTCTGGACAGTAAACCTCGGCCAGATTCCATTTACAGTTTTCACCAAAAAATCCTGCACAAAAGGCACATCGATACATATGTACTGGATCTTTCAACTGACCTTCATTTCCTTTCTGAATGATCAGTGAATAAAACTCACTCACTGTTGGCCTTATTAGACAATGGGCAGTGGCTGGTGTTAAACATTCAATTGAGATATTTGTGTGTGTGTGTGTGTGTATATATATATATATATATATATATATATATATATATATATATATATATATATATATACATGATATATACATACACACATGATGAATGGACCAAAATAAATGGCCAAAAATGACTGAAAAAATTCTGGTTCCATCATTGACTTACATTAAAAGTAAAGTAGGTTTTCTCCTCGTCTTGTAAACATATATATATATATATATATATATATATATATATATATATATATATATATATATATTTATTTATATATATATGCCCCCCACAGTGGGTAGTGCTGTTGCCTCACAGCGAGAATGGCCTGGGTTCGATTCCCGGCTGGGTGACCAGGGTCATTTCTGTGTGGAGTTTGCCTGTTCTCCCCGTGTCTGCGTGGGTTTTCTCCGGGTACTCCGGTTTCCTCCCCCAATTGGACACACTAAATTGCCCCTAGGTGTGAGTGTGTGTGTGTGTGACTGTGTATGTCTGTCTGTCTGCCCTGCGATGGACTGGTGACCTGTCCAGGGTGTATCCTGGCTTTCGCCCAATGACAGCTGGGATAGGCTCCAGCACCCCACCGTGACCCAGAAGGATAAGCGGTTTAGATGATGTATGTATGTATGTATATATATATATATATATATATATATATATATATATATATATATGCGTGTGTGTGTGTATACAGACAGGGCCGGATCGGGACTTGTTTTCAAACCAGACTTACAGGATGCAAATCAGCCTTCCTCAAACTGTAACTGTATTTCTCCTGCTACTCACACACAAACACACATACACAGCATTACCTTTGTCCAAAATAACTTTTTCTAAAATCTGCACATTTTTCTGTTCATTTCTTTCTCTAATTTATTATTTATATGCTACACCAAGAAAATATTTTACTTTTGACAATACGATACGGGTCGACTAGTTTGGCTCGGTCGCCCAGAGTGCAAGAAGGCTATTGATCTGGAAAACTCCTCCATCTTTCATTGTGTTGTTTATCTCTTCATCCACTAGTCAGGCTTGGTCAGATGTGTTTCTGCTGTAATTAATAACAAAAATGCATTCTTGTGGTTAAGATGCTTCTCCAATCCTCTCCAAATGTGGTTTGAGTGATCTGCTCTGAATCCGAACACAGTGAGTCCTGGTTGTGTTTACATTGGCTTTTCATGCGATCAAATTAGATCCGAATGTGATCTGATCATCGAAAACGCGTGTTGCAAAATCTGCTCATCCAATGTTTATTCTGAAATTAATGATAATAGAGAGTTTGACCCCATTTTTTTGCAGTACCAGCCTCTCCTCCTCTAAGCAAGCTTTGCACTAGATGTTGCA